AAAAACGCATACATCAAAAACAAAAACGACAATGTGTAAGAGCACTGCCGTACATTTTACCAACATCAAATTCTTGCAACAGAGGGCGCGCTACACAAATACTGGTCACCAAGCGCGCATACTTCTGTCAACGTGGATACGATCTGCCCAAACGAATTTGCACAGGTGATGGACTTTGTGGAGACGATAACTCAAGAACACAGTGCACTGAATTGAAATTTCGTTCCAAAATTGTTTAGGATATAGGACACAAATGGTCTGAAAATCGACGGGAACCATTCAAAAATAGAATTAATATGATTTAAGGAAATACAGTGTAAAAATCATTTTGCACTCAGTAACAAGGATTACACTTTTTTTTGCACGATAACAGCGAATACATCGTTTAGTGACAAAATACAATGATGCACAAATCATGGAAAGCCATTTGTATCATAAATATATATTGGGTTTTATTACAAACTATGTCAAATTTGTTATTAGTACCATGATAAATAGTTTTTGTACTGTCCAAGCAAAAAATGATAGAATGGTAGAAAGTGACAAAATTATGGGAACTCATTTAAATCAGAAAAATGTAATAACAATGCTGAACACCATATACTGAAATGTATGCTTTTCAAGGGAATCTTTGGGGTTTTTTTCCAGATGCGACTTGCAGGCCATTTTCAGACAAATCAATTTAATCAATGAATATTTTTTTTTGGGGGGGGGGGACCAAAATACGTACAGTATAAACCTTTTGTTACTAGATTTTTACATTTTTCAAAACGTTACATATTTTCACATTTTCTCTACTTTCTCAGTAATTTCTAATTCGCTGAATACTTTCCCAAAACAGTAAGGACCATTTTTATACACTTTTAGTTGGCAAGAAGAATGAAGTTGAAATCAGTTGCATATTGACACTTCATTGAATCATTGACACAGCTCTGCGAATCCACTCAATACAATCTACTCATCTCCAATATAATCACAATTAAAACTTCTTAAAGAAGGTATCCTAATGCTCAGAAAACCAAGTGCACACTCGGTAGAATCACCGTCGAATACTTTGTATTTGTTAGGCTTTTAGCATCCATTTTCTTGCTTCTACTGCAAGTGTTGAAAATTTCATAGGCACACTTTTTATGGACGAAGCTGGAGCTCTACAGAGGTAAATATGATGGGGAAATGTACACATTCTTTCCGTATGAATGGGAAAGCTTTTTTACAAAACAAAATACAGAAGGTCTTCTTACATTTGAATATCTATCAGTGGTTAGAGCCTTCCCGATGTTTGGCTTGAAAAAGACTTGAAGGTAATGTGCAACATTTGCAAACATTAAACAGCAAAACTACCATAATATTATGAAATACCTTACTGGACTGTAAGTGAATAATATCCCCAAGCATCCTGTGAAATTATGGCACCTGATATGCTGTCATTTTCAAGAAAAGTTGAATTTTGTATCAATTTCCAAATACTGCCCCAAATTCACCAAAGTTAGTTAGTCCACATTTTGTTTGTAATCAGTTAGACGTCCATGAACGGGTGCCAGCTTGTCTGGTTCCCTGACCTGATAATTCCCTGGCGTCTACAAATTGCTCTGTTTCGTCCAAAGCAGGGTCAAGGAACCAGACTACATGAACAGCAGTTTTTTTCAGTCTAACAATATTCACTATAAAAATACTAACCCCCAAATCCATCCACTTCTGAAAATTACAGCAAAAGCAAGTGTTGAATATTACCTTTAAACCTAATACATATATTCCACAGCGCTCAATTTACTTTGTACTTGCGTTCGTCTTGTGTTGTTTTGAAAGTCGTATCAAGTCATGTGAAAACAATTTCCCAAGAAGCAACATTGGTTTCACAAACTGCAACTGCATTTGAAAAAGGAAGAAAAGGCAGGTTTGGAAACCAGACGTCCATACCTGACCACTATTCTTTATACAATATCTTAGGAGAAATCTGGCTTCAGAATTTTGCACCCTCAAGACATGGTTTGCAAGACATGGTTTGCACTCAGCACAAAATTGAACGCGCATGCAAATTTGCGACGTCTCGTCAAGTTTTCTCGCTGCGAATTTGCAAAACTTGAACACATTTCAACCTGGACTACTTTTGCTGAGAATGTTTTGTGATGTCAAATTTGCTTTACGTTTGCATTCAGGCAGTATCCTTTTGTGACTTCATGTTTTTGAGCACACAACAATTAAAGAAAAATAAGCGTAGCCTGTTTGGATAGGAATACAAAATTCCCGCCATTGTAGTACAATTGTGCCCCACTAAATGTTCATCAATAATTTCTTGCAATGCTAAGAAAATAAATATACACTACAAGGCTAAGCAGCCCTGCACAATCACGTAGATAAATACGTATATTACATCATTATACAGGTCATTTTTTGTACACAAATTTGAACCATTTAAATAAACTCCAACTACAGCAAGGCAACTGTAAGTACTTCTTGTTACAAGATTGTCTCGGTGTTTTTGAGCAACATCACTTTTGAAAACCTTCAAAAAGTATCAAATTTATTTTACATAATTTTGGCAAAAATCCTACTGCTGTTAATAATGTCTTGGTGGTAGAACCCTGTTATGTATTTCAATTGTATCCCCTTCTTTTTACATTAAAAGCCCCCAACTGTTTGGGGCCACGCAATTTGTATATAGCTACGTAGGGCCAGTTGAGCTCCCACTGAAATATACTGTAAATGCAAACAAGCTTTTTACTTACAAAAATCAAAACATTTGTGTCCAAATTCTTTGCAATCAAACGTTTTCCCAGAGGCGGTTCTGAGGTCTGGTAGCCATTTTCTTAACCCTAACTCCCTAGGCATTTTTACTAGGATCCAACCTCAATCCTGCAAAATCCTCCCACTGCCTCCATGTCAAAATTGCATACAGCCTCAATCTTCCAAAATCCTCTGTTATCGCTGTCAATATGTTGAGGCAGAGCCAGTGACATCCTGGAGCAGTGCAGAGGATTTCAAGTATAATCTAGGCCTAAATTTATGCACGGCTGAACATAAACAACACAAGGTCCGGCCTGAGACCTTGACACACTGCATTCTCCAAAATCAGCCACGCAGTTTTGCCATATAGCCTCCATCCTGCAAGAGCCGCATTTTGCCAAGAGCATTTTGGAGGATATGGGAAGGTCTAAGGTTAAAGGTTTAATTCAAAAAAGTTCCAGTCCACAGAAAAGTACAGGTTACAGCATTATTCAGAATTGGAAGACAGAAATTATCAATTTTAATTTACATGTGAATAATGAAGAGCAAACATCTATTTTTGTTTGCACATGAGTCTAAATGTGTACTTACAAATTCAGTTGGCAAGGGCTGAATGAATACAGTATCGTTAATGGCTGATTTTGTAGTGAATATATATTTTGTTGACCTATGTTGTCTTTTTCTGTGCTTTTTTTTCACATACTAAGCATTCTGGAGTGTACTAACAACCTTGTCTTTGACAGCAAGACGATGCACCCACTGGTAACAATGCAAGATTACAACTCTACACTGGGGGGGGGGGGGGGGGGGGGCAACACGTGCCCGTGCTTCCCCCCCCCCCCCTCCCCTCCCAAGTGCCCCCTAGCAACCTAACCCTAGTTACGCCGCTGGGTCATTACACACAAGCTTGTCACCAACAGTAAGATCATAAACACTGTGAGTAGTCAAATTTCATCAACAGACAAAACAGGTAAGTGGTAGGTACAGCTTGCTTATCCATCACCACCAGTCAAAACATGGCTGTATCAAGTGACATAAACAGTCACAACCAGTCAATCCTGCTTTGGAGAACTCAACTGGCAGGAAACAGTCCCTTTCTTGAGTTTGACTGCTGGGATGGCTTTGTTGAATTTGCCAGACAGAGGAGTGTCATAAAAGGTGATTTGTAATAAAAAAAAAAATTCAAAGGAGTTAGGTCAAACGAGCTTTGAAATAAGTTTGCACAATTTAAACTCAATTACGATTGCCAACATAAATTACCCAAAACAGCTCATTTAAAGCACCTACATTTCATTTACAAGCACCAATTAATACAGTCATGACTGGAGAGGCAATCAAGTCCTTCGAAGGCTGAAAAATCCCAACAAAAAGAGGGAACTGAAGTGAATATTGACTTGCACTTTTGAACAAACAAATCCAAAAAAGTCCTCTAGCTAATTGTGGTTACAGAGGAACCTTACAAATGGGCCTTATACACGAGTCGGCCATATTGAATTGAAAGTGAGGTAAAAGCTTAATTTTTGGAACTTGCCGAGAGAAATGAAAGCAACTTAATTACTAATTAATTCCAGTCTGCTTCAATGAATTATTTAAAATTTGTGATTACACATTCCCTAATGTTTAAAGCCAGATTTTAAAAAAAAATTGCATAAATAGTCTGGCGCCATCCCATTCAATAGTTAATAATGAATGAAATACATTCAGGGAACTCGACAAAAATGGCCACTCGTGAATAAGGCTCATTGTGTGCCCTCTATCAACCAAAGCCTTTTACAGTCTTTATCAACGTACATCCAATACAAGATTAGCAAACAACCAGTTCTTATATCCACATGGAAAAAACACCCCCATTCTGCCATTTCTTTAGTTACGCCATTTGAATTTCCCACCTAGGATCCAACGGTTCAAAGCTTGGTTGGTTTCTTTCACAATTTAAAAAGAAAAAAAACAATTAAGGTCACTGCTCAAATGTGACTGGCTCCACAAAAAAAGGGTATTATGTCGCAAAAAAAGAGAGAAATTGAGTTATATACATGGGTGGAAGGCCCACAATGTAAGCTTTCATTTGGTATATAATAGAGCTCCATAGCCCCTGCTGTTCTGGAGATATGATGTATTTGCATATTAATTTCTTCCTTGGAGTTCGATTAAAACAACTGAGAAAACAGGCTTTGAAATAGCTGGCTTTGTTGTAGAACAACAGACCGATGCACCCAAATGGTTGTTTTTTCCACTTTGTTTATTAAAATCAACATTTCTGTGAATGAAACCTGGAACTGTAGGGATTTAAAGATGTCATTCATGACAAAAAATGAAAATCACATTTTGACAAAATTTTCACCCTCTTACACAATAATGTTTAGCGAGTTAATACCCTTTTTTGTGGAGCCGGTCACAAATCAAATACCACACTTTTTGTTCTTGTATTCATGCAAATTTGAAAATATTGAGGTACTTTAGCCTGCTCAGGGACATATTAAAGAAAAACTCTCTCTTCATGGACCAACCACTAAATTACACAAGTCATAAGCAGCCATATTTCCTAAGCAAGTTTTGAGCGGTCATTAAGAATCAATTTCAGGAAGTATAAATCTACAAAAGTTTGGTAAAATAAATATCTGCACTCTTTGTCAAACCTGGCTGATGGGGGGATTCCTCTACCTCTTTAAAGCTCTTCAAAGTACGCCACCCTTGCCTTCGTCGTGCCAGATTTGATCTGTAAAGAAAATCGAACAGAACAGTCAAATATTGAATATTGCAAATCTAAACCAGAGCTTATTTTACAATACTACATGTTCTTGTCGTCATACACATTTTTCTCAATACTTCAATTCTAAAAATTTAATACCAAAGTACAGTACAAACTTATGTCATCGCAAATACACCAAAAAAACCAACAATTATTAGTTATATCAGGCTTCCAGTGGTAAAAATAATCAGCGCATTGTTTCCTTTCGTAAAAAGTACCAGGATGACTGCAATATTATGTCAGTATTAAAACGTACCCAGATGAGCACAATATTTTTTTCGATACTGTCTTCATCCGGGCATTTGAACAAATTTCACTGTTTCCTGCTCAATCAAGAGTGTAGAAAGCCACAACTTGCATCAGTACAGCAAGGTCCCACAGATGCTTACACCTGATGCTCTGTGTTGCGTCTGCCAGGGTTAAGGTGCCTTTCCATATGCACATTTTTTGGTCCGTTACGCCTACGTTGCGTTAACATATTTAATTTTTAAGGACACAAAAAATTGACTTCATATTGACGCACACGTCCCTTTTCATAGGTACGCATACGTTGCGTGTCCATTTCGATCGTCCGCCAAAATCATTCCAAGAGCAATTTCGACACATATGCAACGCTTGGCGCAAGCGAACAACCCCCTACCATTACTGCGTTGCAATCAAAACGATGGTACGTCCCATTATCTTGCCTGCTTTGGACGATTTCATGGACCCACACCCAGTATTTTCGGTTTTTTTTGGAAAGAATTCTTTCACTGTAAGCTGCAGCTGCAATCAATGGACGCATTTTATTTTGACAGCTTGCCATTTTCTTTTTTCTACATTGCTATTAAACCAAATTCATTGCGCATACTTCACATATACATGGAAAGGTAAATCACGCGTGCAAAATGCATCGCGAACAACAGTCACGGACACAGCCAGGACTGAAAGCGCATATGGAAAGGCACCTTTTACTAGGAATCATTCTAAATAATTGAGATCGTCTTCCCACTTACTCTGACTAGCGTGATGTACTTGGTTTCTCCCCTATCCATCAGGTCATTGTGGATGCGATCAAGCTCCGTCTCTTTCTCCTCCACCTTCATCACCTCGATCTCTGACTTGAGCTCATTCAGTTGTAGCTGCAGATGCCTGCTCTTCTCCAGGTAGTCCACCCTGGGCGAGACAAACAATAGAGGTAGGCGGAGTAAAATAAAGGGTGGAAATTTGGAAAGACTCTTTAAGAAGTCCAGAGGGAAAACGGGATGACTAAAGGTGGTCTTCCATTGTGTTACTCTGAACAGGATGGAATTTGCATCGGGGAGATGGAAATTCAAGATTAGGTTTTGCCCTTCACCGAGAACAAATTCACAAGCTTACTCGGGTGGGACTGGAACCCACAGCCTCCTGCTTACTGGTGCAGACATCTTACCACTGAACCACCAAGCTTGCCAGGATCGGCTGGCTGGTTCGAATTGGATAAAGCAGCAGGTACTGCACCCAAACTATTTATAGAATGGAATTTGCGTTGGGGAGATGTACATTCAATAATGGGTGTTGTACTCTGTTCCTACAGTTTCATACTTTTGTTTCAGAGTCTCGCCCAACATAAATGTGTTTAGATTGACCCAAGACGACCAAAATAGAATTAGGTTTTTGACAAGCCAACTTCAATTTTCTACTGACTAGTCTCTGGACTTGTTTCAAAGGATTTCAACAGTCGATCTTCCGCGTTTGGCGCAGCTCCAGAATGCCAGGCCGCAACAGCTGTTAATACTCAATATCTGCCCAGTTTACTATAGGGGTGTTTTGTAAAACAAAATATTTTTTGGTGAACATTCAACTGCTACGTTTTGAGCTTGAATGTCAGCTTGAAAGAGATTTTTTATGATAAAGCAACTTCTATTCCATGTTCTTTTGTGCAGGGTAAAATATATTTTCTAGCCCTATTGCTGAGAGTGGATTTAGAAAGGTCATATAGAGGGCTCTCACTGACCCATTTGACTCGGCCTACATCCAGGTACCACAAAGTCAGCGTCGCCATTGTAGCAGACTAAGACCGATGGGTCGGCATGATTATGACAACCGTGCACGGCACAGGTAGTGACCATTATGCAATTTGATAACGGCTATGCCACACGAAAATACACCATACTGTCTAATTTACAATGAATGACGTGGTTGCTGACTAAAGGCTTGCCTCCTGCACTGAGGTAGGGTCTGAAAAAGCAGCTGGATGGATGTAGAAAACATATCACGTTGATACAAACCTTTCTTTCTCAATTTCTTTGGACAGTTTCTCCACGTCACCATCCGTCATCAGTTCATAGGAGTTGTTATCGTTGTCCACTCCGTAGTCTCCGTCTGTGAGCTGTAGCTTCTCAAACTCTGAGCTGGTTATGACATGCGCTGATGTTAACTGAGAGAAAAACACACAGAGGGAGAAATGGGTTACAATATTGCTTGAACATTTAATGGCGGAGGACGTGTAAACACGATCTGGCAGTGTACATCAGCAGGGGCGGGCGACGGGTTAAATCGTCAAGCTTTCTTCAAGTCTCAGGCGGTGGACGTGTTTACACGTCAGTGGTTCCCATTGGTTTTGTACACACTTTGTGTTGAACTTGAACTTGGCCATTACAGGCCTGGCATTGTATCATATCACTCCCTGGCGGGACCTCCGAGTTACGGTGAGGAGTATCATACAAATATTGTACAAATGACTCTCAAGATTTAGTATTTGTGGTGTTTGGCCGATATATTTAATCTTTGTGAAAATTTATGTTTTTCGGCCAAAAAAAATCCTGTCGTGAAGTAGCTACAGGTTATTATGGAAGTAAAACAAACTGTGCCACTGGTTTACTCATTGCATTGTGTGTTGATAACTGTCAAACACCTGCCAATTTTGTGAGCATTTTGTGCAATGAACACAAATTGCACAATGTATCTCTACAATCTAAGTTCTACTAAGAGCAAGTCATTTCACATTTTTAAGGTTATATGTGGGCAATTCCAGCATTATGAAAGGAAGTGTAATGTCCATGACAGAGCCAATTAACCACGATATCTAATTAATGATTCAGAGAAATGATCTAAAACTCCTAGTCTGTGGTCTCCTGGACCATTAATAGACGAAGGATGTAGAAGATTTGAAGAAAAATACATGTTCAGGTTTATTCACTGGGCTCTTAACAGCTCTATCACGGACATTACATTAACCCTAACCCTCCAGGGTATTTTGGCTAGACACCCTGCCAAATGCAGCAACATGCAACACTTGTCTAAGTGACAAGCCTGCCCAGTGCAGCAAGATCCATCAGGTCAAAATGTTTCAAGGCCAAACTGCCTCAGAGTCTGTGGTCCCCGAACGCAGCAGGATACAACTGTGGCATTGTTCAATGGGATTAGCTCTCATTGTCTCAGAAACGGCCGTTTACGCACTGGTGTTGGTGGCTGAATGCATCAAAGTGCACCAGACTTTTCCACCTGATGCACTGTGTTGCGTCTGCCAGGGTTAGGGTTGACGCTTAAACATTTTGGCAAAACCCTTCTGTGTGTCATTCACAAGCAAGTTTAATAATACTACGCAACATTTTGACTGCTAAGCTGTTTACATGTAGCATAGCAAATTTCTTATGCTTTCAGCTAAGCAGCTTCAAAATATCAGCCCAAGTACTCACATCCAGGAGTGGCAACTTGGTGACTTGGATGAGTTTCTCCTTGGCGTTCTTCTCAGCTTCCCTGGCCCGGACAAGCTGCTCCTTTAATCTCTCGGCCTCCATTGCTCTGAAAGAACAATAGAAACAATGACATCACTGACTTCCAATCTTAAAGCTTAAAGGGGCACGACGCTTCATCTCTGATGACAGGAAATGCCCTGTGCAATTAGAAATACCTACAGCGACTTTTTCAAGGGATCCCCATATGACCCTTGAAAAAGTAAAATTGAAAATCTCAGCGGGTGTCGGAGGATGCCTACGTGCCCAACGGAATCTGGGGCGGATTGCAATACCAAGGTCTTAGCTGGCGGGCTTAACTAGTCTGATTATACCTGGCTATCGCTCAAGGATGGTCTTGGTAAGATGCAAAAGCGATAAGCCGGTCTTTACTAAGCCTGCGTAAAGTATTGATTCACAAACATACATTCCGTGGTTATGGGCTATGGTGCTCACACGCCGTAATACCAGAGAAACTGCACAATTTTCAGCAGTCTGATTCAACTCATGCGAAATCAAATCTGTCGATTAGAAATTTGTGTTCAGAAAATTGTAACTGCAGTACAACTCAGTGTCATTACATTTCTTTAAAAGATTCCTTCTGTCTTAGACAATCCTCTCTCCAAGCAGTGTTCTGCTATTTAACATAATCATGTTTATATTAACTGAAGAAAAAAAATCTTTGACATTTTGTTTTGAACACACAGATGAATACAAGAAAATCCCAACAATAGACCGTTTTTAAGCCAGCCCAACCCGTACTTTCGAAAAATGGAATTTTCACAACAGGCATAATGAAGTGATGACATGAAGACGGTTAAGACACAGTGGTTTAATTTTTATAAAAATGCTGTCATTGCCACATTTTGTCGGTTAATTTTTCAGAGATTAAGCATCAGAAAAGCTGTCATCTTGGTACTAACAAGTTATAAAAAGATTCTGTGAATGGAAGAAGGCAGTTCCTACCTTCTATCTGACTCCTCAGCTAATCTGCCAGCAATCATCTCGGCTTCGTGAACTTTCATCTCCATTAAATTTCTCTCTTCTTCCGTCTACACAGGAGGGCAAATGTATGACAGGTTGAAAAAACAAAGAATCAATATTTATTCATATTCCTTCAAATCAGTAGAATTGCCGAAATGGGTACATCTTCACTTTAATAAACTTGTGCAACATGTGTGTTCGCATCGTACATTGTATCATCACAGTAATAGACCATTGTCATGTTACGGCCATCTTGATTTTTTTCTCATTTAAATCAACGTAACCCAAGCGAGGCTAAAAGGAAAAATAGTCTGGTTCCTTTTTGCACAAAAAATTATCATTCAGTACTGTTATTGGATACAGGGAACATGACTGAAATGGTGGCAGCATGATAAAGGTCTATGGCTTCTCATTACGTTTTGTTGAATAAGTCATCAGGTAATGCCAAGTAAAAAAAATAACAAATTCCTCGTCACTGCCAGTTTGATTTTTTTTCCCGGCTGCCTCCCTTTTTCTTTTTAATTGTACATTTGCAATACATTTTGTCTTATGTGTTTCCAGCGAACCTGTATCTATGTACAACTTCAAAAACTGGTAATAAGCATTGACGGCTCCTTTCGACACAAAATTATCAGCAAAAGAGTCAAGGAAATGGAAGAATCCATCTTAAAAAAATCCCATCTTGACAAATAAAAGGGCCGCCTCCTCCCTTCTGTCAAAAACCTGGATGAGTAACCATTTTTTCCCCCACTTTGTCTAATAGATGGTTCTTTTCATTCAAAATCCACCAGTCACAAAAGTCTTTCCGTTTACCTTGATAGCCTGTAGCCTGATGCGTTGTATCTCAGAATCGGCTTGGTTGGCCTTCTGAGCTAGCAACATGGCTTCCTCCTCCGCAACCTGGGCTTTCTCTCCGAGAAGTTCTGCCGTCTCCTCTGACCTCATCTTAAAACATAGCAAAAATGAACACAAATGAGGGAATAGGCCTAGAACACTTCTATTACAGTGGAATATTCACATGAGTTTGTGAGCACCCAACGAGGAAATTTGGATTGTAATGGGCTTATATTCAGCACACAATATCTGTGCTAGAGCTGCAAGCACAGACTGGTGAACTAAGCACGGAATTACGTGGTTCGACAAACCATGTTAGTGAGCCTTTTTTATTTTGCAGGTTTGAGGGAAGAAGGCCTATACACTATTTTGGCAATCTAAACTAGTGGCCATTATTGAGTTGGAACCATATTTGCATGCAGGCTGTATGCACACACTTACTATTCCTTTGATCAATAGCGTTACCAAAATGTGTACAAGCATGACATTCACTGTGTGGACTTCCCAACAAAAGATGTCCACATAAACCAGTTTTCAGCTACGTTGTGTGGACTTGCCCACGTCCACACAATGTTTCCCCCTCTCTGGAAAACAGGTTTAGAGGCATTTTGGGGTTAGGTTTATCCATTGCAAAAAAAATTGGGTGAGTTTTTACAGTGTGAGTAAAATGAGTTTTTTTTCACAGGTTTTTCTTAACAACGAAAACAAAGGAACGTCCACAATAGGTATGTAACGTAAACATATATGTGTGTGTGTGTGCTTCAATTTTAAGAATGCTGGAGAAATGCACACAAGCTTGGTTCAACCTCAGTCATGGCTTCCAATTTTGTTCATCAAATTAGTCTATAAACCAACATTAGGTAACAACAAGCAGCATCTCACCAGTGCATCGTGTGCTAGTCTTGCCTCGTCCCTGAAGTGCACCAGTTGCTTCTCCATGTCCTCCTTGTCACGCTCGGCTTGCTCCCTCAACTCTCTCTCCCTCATCAACTTGTGTCTCTCGATCTGACCCAAGAAAATCAAAAACAGTCTAACGTTTGTACATGGGAAAAACCTCTTTCTTAAAACTTAAAACTGGTGGTCAAGGGATTGAATTTTGGGTAAGAAGTAAAGTCTGTCACGAGCGAAATGGACCATCAGGCCAGTGTTTATTTCCAGTTTCCTTGGTGTGAAGTGACTGAGAACATTTCTACTCCCCTAGATGGGATACCAGTCCATCTTTAGGTAACTCCCCAGCTAATGCTGTTACCCATTTATACTCCTGGGTGGAGAGAGGCAAGTGGGGGTGAAGTGGCTTGCCCAAGGACACAACATATGGCCAGCAGCTGGATTTGAACCCCTGACTCTCTGATCACGAGTCAAAACCCTAACCCCTAAGTCACACTGCCCAGAGGTACGGACTTCACTCCGTGTCCAAAGGCAAGTCAGTTTAATAACTTCACTTTCCTTTATGAAAATAGCAATAAGCATGGACACTGGCATTAGTTGAGTAATAATCTCTGTCCATTCCAAGTGTTACGAGTTTTGAGATGCTCCCTTATGTGAGCACAAATCGACAGATTGACGGCTGACTTACATGTCTCTTGGCTTTCTCCTCCTTGGCTTGTGCTTTCATCTGTTGTACCTCCATCGTGTCCATCCGCCGTCTTTGCATAAACAGCTCGTGGTTCCCAACACACAGATCCAGAATCTACAAACAGATAGCGCACACATTTTTCAAAGTCACTTCACTATTGCCAATGCATTTTGGTACACCAAACGTTTGGTGCTATACCAGGCTTTGGTACTACTTGAGGTCTATGTCAATCATATCTCAAATAGATATAATTAAAATCTGTGATTTTTCGCAATATAATTTTGCATTGAGTGATGGATATTGGTTTGAGAAAGCCCACCTGGGGTTGTGGGTAGCAATTCTTACATACTATTGGGGGGGGGGGGGGATTAAGATCAACAATTTGATCTTAAGTATAGTTTTACAGATGAGGCTTAGAAAACTGATATTTTTCAACACTATCCCCTAAGGCCAAAAAAAAAAAGTCTCCGGTTTCTGGTATGGAGCTTGCCCAAAAAGTGATGCGGCGACGCGGCTTTTTTTTTTTTTTTTCCCTGACTTTTTTGCTTCAAATGTCGGCTGATGACTGCAAATGGTGTCCGACTAAACTGAGTGCAAATATATGGGAGTCCAGAGAGGCCACATAAAGCTTATTCTCGACCATAACCCAATCTAAAAACACGTTAAAATTGTGCAGCAGCAGTATTCCAGTCAAACCAGTGAGTTTGGTGGTTTTGGGACATCATCTTTCATTAAAAAAATTTTTTTCATTTTGCCGACGCGCATGGCTACGGCGACGCGCGCGCATACCAGAAACCGGAGACTTTTCTTTTTTGGCCTAAAATATGTGACAAACATATTAAAATTTGAGGACTGTTACGATTAATGATATTTTGGGAACTTAGTTTAGGACCTTCATTTTAAAAACAACTCTCAGGCTACAATGATCAATACAGCTTGTTTCCAAGTTCACCCAGAGTGCCCTTTTTCAAAGGTGTGATCTGTTCCACTGATAACAATGAAGATAAGGTACACCAACTCACCAGTTTGTTGAGTCTGAGCCGAGGAGATATGAAACAAAAGTCAGGTGATTTCTTGTCTATCGGCTTTATCGTGAACTGCAAGAGAAAAGTTAATACTTGTGAAATTTGTGCCGAAACCATTTGGGAATTTTTTCCAATCTAAATGTTTATGTGTGAAAAGATAAAAAAGTTTGTAGATATTTCTCCTGGTTAGATTGATGTTGATTATTATTCATTCAGGCGAAGTCATCAAATTGCAAGTTGGACTTGTGACTGGACTAGTGACTGGACTAGTGACTGGACTTGTGACTGGACTTGTGACTGGACTTGTGAAAGGATTGTGACTGGACTTGTGACTGGACTAGTGACTGGACTAGTGACTGGACTTGTGACTGGACTTGTGACTGGACTTGTGACTGGACTTGTGACTGGACTTGTGACTGGACTTGTGACTGGACTTGTGAAAGGATTGTGACTGGACTAGTGACTGGACTTGTGACTGGACTTGTGATTAGACTTGTGACTGGACTTGTGACTGGACTAGTGACTGGACTAGTGACTGGACTTGTGACTGGACTTGTGAAAGGATTGTGACTGGACTTGTGATTAGACTTGTGACTGGACTTGTGACTGGACTTGTGACTGGACTTGTGACTGGACTTGTGACTGGACTTGTGATTAGACTTGTGACTGGACTTGTGACTGGACTTGTGACTGGACTAGTGACTGGACTTGTGACTGGACTTGTGAAAGGATTGTGACTGGACTTGTGATTAGACTTGTGACTGGACTTGTGACTGGACTTGTGACTGGACTAGTGACTGGACTTGTGACTGGACTTGTGACTGGACTTGTGACTGGACTTGTGACTGGACTTGTGACTGGACTTGTGATTAGACTTGTGACTGGACTTGTGACTGGACTAGTGACTGGACTAGTGACTGGACTTGTGACTGGACTTGTGACTGGACTTGTGAAAGGATTGTGACTGGACTTGTGACTGGACTAGTGACTGGACTTGTGACTGGACTTGCGACTGGACTTGTGACTGGACTTGTGACTGGACTAGTGACTGGACTTGTGACTGGACTTGTGACTGGACTAGTGACTGGACTTGTGACTGGACTTGTGACTGGACTAGTGACTGGACTTGTGACTGGACTTGTGACTGGACTTGTGACTGGACTTGTGATGGACTTGTGACTGGACTTGTGACTGGACTTGTGACTGGACCTATGATGGACTTGTGGCTGGACTTGAGAACTAACTTGTGAGGGACTTGATTACACCTCTGCCACATGTGGGTTATTCTCATTATGTTTAGGTACAAGAGCTGGAGGTTTGTGGCATATTGCTTGCCATGGCTCACTTCATATATTCTGGGAATTCCAATTGTAATATATCAAATTTTGGCTTCTTACTTCACTTCACCTCGGCATCTTATCTTACCTTCTTGTCTTTGTAGGACACGTTTCTGATCTCGCTCCAAGGGAAGGATATCTTGGGCACCAGTTTGTTGTCAATCTCATACACGTTCAGCCCCATAGCGTCAACACCCAGATACAAATCTGTACCTTTCTCGTTCTAAAAACGAAATGCCAAATAAAAAGTATAAATACACTCTTATGGCAAAAGAATACACAATAAACAAGAAAAACACAATTTCAGTGCGATCTGGGGCTTTGCGTGGTTGAGAATACAGCATTGGAGAAGTTTACCAATGCTCCTCGAGTCAAAGTTACTTTTACTATAAAAGAAGATGGTAGTTTAGTTTTTCTCACTTCACATAGTGTACATATTTCTTAAACGTATTTCAATTGGAAATACAAATTGAGCAATACTTGTTAAACGGCTCTAATTAAGGTGAGAAATGTCGCATCACATGTTCACAAACTTCAATGAGCTCTAAGTTTGTGTGGTTCTGAAAAGAACTGTTTGGAAACTCAACGTTTTGGACAATATGCTCTGCCTGAGGTTGAACTACTCCCCAGGAACTCTCGCAAACCATCAGATTCTTCGCTGCGAACTCACAGTGCAACCCTTCAAATCTTAATTGAGCTCCATGTCTGTATGTAATTTACCTTAATCTCAAAATAGTTGACTCCATACATTTCAAGATCTTGTGTGATTTTCAAATACTCCATCTCTGCTTCATCCCTGTCAAAACAAAACATGAAAAAACATTTTAAAAATGTATTTCCTTTTTTGTATTAATTCTTTCTTAATTAACCTAAGCTACTTTCTATGTTACATTATGAATCGCTGTTAATCAGCATAGTATTTTCTTTATCGTGCTCCATAATTTTTTTTCTGGCCAATAAAATTGATTCCTCATTTACAAGATTTCATCCCTGGTCCAAATTCACAAACCTTGACTATGATTCAGGGTCACTATCCCTTGATCCGATACACCTCGTGATATTTACCACTTAATCCCACTGTTGGCATGCCATACTGTTATGTTTTTTTTTTCTCCTCCCACATATCACAGCCAACCAATCAAAACTCTCATTCACAAATCTTCATGACTGATTCGTGACCACCATCAATGGTTCCCTCATCTCACCATATTCTTGCCTCATGAGTCCCTGGTGCTCCGCATACCATGCTGTTATTTTTTCTCCTCCCACATACCACATCCAACAAATCAAAAACTCTCATTCACAAAGCTTCATGAATGATTCATGACCTCCATTACTGGTTCCCTCATCTCACCATGACAAATTTACCTCGTGAGTCCCTGGTGCTCGGCATACCACGCTGTTATTTTTTCTCCTCCCATATAACACATCCAACCAATCAAAATCACTCATTCAAAAATGTTCATGAATGATTCATGACCTCCACCACTGGTTCCCTCATCTCACCATGACATAGTTACCTCATGAGTCCCTGGTGCTCGGCATACCATGCTGTTATTCTCTCCTCCCACATCTCAGCTGTCATGTCAAACTGCTCCACCACTCTCTGCGGCAAGAGTTCTTCGTTGGCTAGGAACCCTGGCTGGTGCACATTCTGTTCGTAGTCGCCATACTGCACAGAACAGGACCAAGCGAAATGCTAGAGATTCACTACACAGTGTGCCAAAAAAGTGCAACATTCAGAAAACAAATAATTAAAACTGTTTAATGTTTTTCTTCAATGAAATTATATATTACATTAAAGCCTGACTATTTCTCAATCCACTCCTTTTTACCCCATTCCATTTGGGTCCCTAGATCCAGAAATACAATCAATAAGTGAAAGGGTGTAAATTTTACTTGGGCCACTCTCACCTGGACATGCTGAATCTGGGTTAAGCATTGAATAAGCACTGAAGTTGGTGACATCACAGGTGAGAGTGGCCGAAGTAATACGTACACCCTTTCACTTAATTGATTGTATTTCTGGATCTAGGGACCCAAATGGAATGGGGTAAAAAGGAGTGGATTGAGAAATAGTCAGGATGTGCAAAAAAAATGGTCAACTAAATTTGGTAAATTGGGGGCAGTATTTGTAAGAAGTCAGTGTTTCCAACCGTGGTCGGCCAACCATCTTTGCAAATTGATACAAAAATTACAATTTTCTTGAAAATTACAGCACATGATTGAGACTAAATTATAAAGTTACAGTCATGTAAGGTATTTCATAACAATTTGGTAGTTTTGTTTTTTGATGCTTGGAAATGTTGTTTATTATCTTTAAGTCCTTCTGAACAACTGCAAGAGTAAATTTTTCAATGCAGTCACTCCAAATTGGAGCACAGATGTTCCAATGGTCCAATTAACAAGGAAGAAAGAACTCCAATGCGATGTGTAGAATTTACGGCAATATAAAAACGGACAGCCACACCATAAAATTGTACGCAAGTTTAAAATTAAGTTGTTCAAGCATAGAGTAAAGACAGGATTTTTCATAACACCAACTTGCATGTCAGGCAACATAATGACAACAGGTAATTACACAATAAAACCTTCAGAACGACATGAATTTCAGGCAATCAAAATTGAATTTTCTTCAACAAGGCTCTGTTAATTTGACACAAATTGAGGGTATAAAATATTTGAAATGCACAAACTGCTCTGCCGTTTAAATTTTCTTCAACAAGGCTCTGTTAATTTGACACATATTGAGGGTATAAAATATTTGAAATGCACAAACTGCTCTGCCGTTTGTGCATTTTGTTTTCTGTAGCTTTTTAGCATTGCACGCATGTATTAGACGTTTTCATTTATGATGACCCTGAAAATTCCAACAGCTGATAATGAGCCAGTTCGGTATCTCGATGATGTAGTACAGGTCAAAGGTCATTCGGGATAAAAGGGCTGACTCGACTCAAACGTCTTGTAACCGCGATGTTACGCGAACACCCATTCTGCTCTTAATTAACGCGCAAGCGTCATGTGACTGTCTCATTGCGTGTCCATGCACCTTCAATGAGCATTCTCTTATCCCGAAGGACCTGTGACTGCGCGCATGGACAGTAAAAATACCGAACTGGCTTATTATTGTCGAAGATATGATTCTTAAAAATTATACACTCATTATTTTAAGTAACTTCTCAAACATATTTCCCAAGTACAAATTATGATAATTTTATTTTCATCTTATTGAAAGTAAAATTGAACAGTAATTTGTATTAACTTTAAAAACAAACCTTAGCCTGGACCGCATAGGAGGCCAGAAGTACGGAAGCCTCCGGTGGACAATACACCTCCTCGTTCAGGATCTGCTGCTTGACTTGTAGGAAGAAGAGATGTTGCGTGATCTCCTGTATCAGTTCCTCACTGACTTCCTCCGGGTAGAACTTGGCCGCAAAGAGGAAGGGCATGGGGGAGGTCTTGGGAATGCCCTGCTCCTGGACCTAAGGTGTGGAGCAGATAGGAATTGAATAGTCCAAATTGTGTCTAAAGGGCCCATGCATTAGTAAGGGTACAAATATATGCTTGGCCGGTTTTAAACAAGTACATTCAAAACCAGCTTGGGGCTGGATGCTGATAATGGCTCCAGCCAAAGGTGAGGGACATTATCGGCGACCAGGCCCCTAGCCGGCTTTAAACGTAGTTTGTTCAATACCGGCCAAGCTCGTAATTATTCCATTCATAAATACCTTTGAGTCAAAAAGTCAGAACAACTCAAAAGTTATAAGTTTTCAACAATTTTGTTCAACAATTTTACTTCATGTTTTTGTAGAAAATCCCCTCTAGCTATGTTATTGTAGGAGCCTCTCGCGAGTAGTCGGAAACATCTCCTTATATGGAGATTGTTGTGTACTGTCTTAGGCCGGACCTTGTGTTGTTTATGCTCAGACGTGAATAAATTTAGGCCTACATTATACTTGAAATCCTCCGTCCCGCTCCAGGATGTCACTGGCTCTGCCTCAATATATTGACAGTGATTGCTGGAGGATTTTGCAGGATTGAGGCAGTGGTCTCCCTTCCAAAGACCACATTCAAGAAATAACGGATGATTTTGGAGGATTTTGGAGGATTGAAGCTGTATGCAATTCTAACATGGAGGCAGTTGGAGGATTTCGCAGGATTCAGGTTGCATCCCAGCAAAAATGCCTAGGAAGTTAGGGTTTAAAAGCCTAAATATGTTGGGCCCGATCAGTGGATCTGCGTTATCACTCGATCGCCCAGAAATGCACTTGCGCGATCGGTCGATCCTGTAGGAAATCTCAGACTTTAGTTCCCTTTTCCAAAACAATCTTCCATAGCCATGAATAAGAAAGAAAATGTGATCAACTAATGGTGGTTCGATTGACTGATAGCACAGCGTGATCGACCGATCGCGCAGATCCACCAATCATGCCCAACAAATAATCTTGGCTTTTCCTCACTTGCTTTGGATTTTCCTTTTCAGCATGTCTACTATCTGCACAAGATGTGTATGTCATTCCCACTTGCCAGAGAATTGAATCCCTAAAAATGTCAACACTTTTTTTCTTATTTTTAGCCACCACAAACCAAAAATTCACAGGATAACGAACAAGAGCTGAAAAGGGTGTACATGTCTCCTGACAGCAGCTGGGGCTTACTGTCTGAAATAAGGAATAATTTTTAAAAAATGGGGGGGGGGGGGGGGGGGGCGGCGGGCGCGAATTTGTTCTTTCTCCCACTACTTACTTTTCTGTCCATCTTCAGCCAGCTAATGTATCCTTTGTGATCAATGAATCTCAGCCCAAAGTACCACGTTTCTCGTAACCCGATTGTCCTGCACACCATGTCAAATAACTGTCTCCCTGTAGCTTTCCACTGTTTGGTGAAAGGAAAAACAAACTAGCAAAGATCATTTTAAATGATAAATTATATATAATTAACAAGTGTATTATTTTTTTAGGACAACACAGCAAAACATTTAAAAACCATGGAACTCTAGCCAATGCGTCTGCATATTTTTACATGTAATTTTTTTTGCTAGGAAAGAATGTAGTATCCAGATGCCACTTCAGCGGATGTGTACAAAGTGTATGGAGAGTGAAGAACATTTTCTAAGAAGTTTCTAACAAAATTGGAAATGTTTCTCAGCCCCAGATTCATGTCTTTTCAACATTTTTGCAATGACTGACCTTTATTGAGATGATATGAAGAAAAAAAAAATAGGCGTCAAGTTGCAACATTCTTTCCTTTTTCTATCCCAACATTTTACTATTTTGTAATACAAATATAAATAAAAGTACTTTTTTATTGTTGGTTGTTGCATCAAAAATGTTGTTCCTTAAACTTTAAAGGCAATATTTTAAGTTAAACTTGAATAGTTCGATGTTCAATAGCTAACGCTTTAATATCCCGGAATGATGAAGAAAAAAAACAACTCAGACATAAATATGGAATATGATTCAGGCCCGTAGGCCTACCTCCCAAATTATTAATCAGTTCAATTTATTCCCAGATTTCAATGTTCTACAATCATTAAACCATAACAGCGAATTATCAGCCTGATCAGAGAACTCACATCTATGCCGAATTCCAACTCGGCATCCATGGTGGTGACGCGGACGGTGAACGTCTTTGGATTTCTACGCAACATCGACATGTTGCCGACCGTGAAACCGGCGGCCCTCTCCGCCGCATGCAGAGCAAAAAACACGGCAGCAAATCAACTTCCTTGTCCGCTCAACGAAGCCGCTAATCCCGTGGCCTCAAAAATAGATACACCGTCGGCACGGTTTTACTGTTAAAACCCGCAATCAACCAATACTCAGCAATCACATTTGGAGTTCAGACGGTGGTTGTAGTCAGAACAGAATGTCAGGGGTGGACGGCATTGTGTTAAAGAGGAGAAAACTGTGAGTAATTTAGTAAAAATGCGCTTTTGTCAAGGGCTACCTGCTGAGATGTGTGTGCGTGTAAACGTCCGACATGTTTATGTTGCATGCAGGCAGCAGGCTAGCCGTTTGTCGTTGGAGAGTCCGAGTCTAGACACACTCAATTGGCTTGTGTGGCATTTTTTCGGTACCATGCTATTTCTTCATGGCGCGCTGGCTAATCTAAATGTAGGGATCGCTCACAGCATAGCGCGCAAACCAGCTGCCTTGATTAATGACAGATATTACAGGATCAGACATCGAATACCGCTATTCGAAAAATGTCAAGATGTCCCAACTTTGGGGTCGCATGGGACACGAAAGAAGGGAATACCAATCAAGATCCTGTCAGGCCTTCTAGCTCGTCCATAAAGCTTCTTCCCAAACGATAAAATCAAAATCATCACAAGCATTTTTCCCCCGGTCTGACATTTAGAGAAAAGTACAAGTGCAACGATCACTTTCATGCGCAAAGTATTCGGCCAGATGTGCAAATGTGTTAATGTTACTTGCATTAGCCGCATTTTTGAACAATTGTTTGTCTTCTGATACTTCTGAGTTCAGCAACTTCCCTTGTCACTAGTTTGGTTTTCCGCAAATACAGAGGCAATTTGATTTTGAGTGGCCATGTTGGGCATTTCTTCTTTGGCAACACTATTTTCGGGGTTTTTTTTGGCAAAACTATTTTCGTTTAAGTCCACATAATTATTTGAAACTACATCAAAAAGGCATTGCATCACATTTCAATGACTATTTCCAAACAACCTTTTGTTAGCACATGCTATTTTGAACTAATTCCCAGATGTGATTTAATTGGGGAACAATAAAAAAAAAAATTCAAAACAAAATTCAAAAAGGGCCAAGGGATATTTCACAAACTTTTGGAAGATTGTGCTCGTGCTCGCCCGTCGATGAATTTCCTCTACAAAAGTGAATAAATTCTGAGACTCTAACAGTACCCAACAAATGTTTACTGCTACAACAATCACAACAAATGAATTGATTTAAAAACAAACAAACACAGTAATATTTGTTTATCTTTTACGGCTCTTTACTAAAGCCCATGTTTATTAATGACAAAATAAGATGTTACACAAACTTCAAGTTATATTTACTATTAAAGTCACTCTGTTTTATTTTATAAATTTTTTTTTGCACTTCAAAGTTTAAAACTTAGTTACAGTATTAAACACATGATCAAAATAAATCAATATAAACTGTTGCATATGTATACGTCTATTGACCTAAATTGTACATTTTGGAATAATATGAAAGTTTAAGGTTGTAATATTAATGTACGATCCCTCTACTTCTGAAAGTTTTTTTGTATATACGTACGTTATTTTTCCACAAAATGACTCAAAAAGGTTCTTTGCATACACTGTTTGGCTATGCCAAAGTTACAATTTAAGCTGCTATATAAAATATTTTTTAAATCCATCCGTTCCATGTTGAAGATAGCAATATCTAACTCTCACAGAAAATAAACATCAATCACTTTGACAGTTATTAACTATTTCCAAAAAAAAAATGATCCTTTCCAATTATAGGAAAACTTTGTAAGGCTTCAATGATAATTCTAAAATAAAAGGCACAAATGCTTTTTACATCTTCTTTGAAGAGAAAAAAATAAAAACACAAAATGCTTCACCTATTTCAGGAAAAGAAATCCGTAGCTCTCAACAATTTTGAGCAGAAGTGTATGATCTCATTCATTACCGTGTGTGCAGCTAATGAGGATACTGATGCAAAGTGATCCCTGTGAAGTTTGCTTCTTATATTGCAAGACAATATCTTAATATTTTTTTTAAAAACCTTTAAATGAAAGTCCAAATTTCCCCAATTGTGACTCCATTCACGATTAGAACTTAACTGCACAATCTTAGTGAATAATGTAATAATGACTACATCCATATTAAAATTATTGATAACAAATAACGATTTCATCGAATAAACCATCTCTGCTATATACCCTTATCGATGAACACCAGTTTTTTTTTTCATGATAAAGCACTACATAATAAAGTATATTACTTACGGTCTGAATTCAGAAATATTCCACTTTAAATACCGGATACCAAACATACAAGTCTGCAGAGTTGTAATCGCAAGTCAATCACAAATCAATCGCAAGTCAATCACAAATCAATCGCAAGTCAATCGCAAGTCGATCACAAGTCAATCACAAGTCAATCACAAGTCAATCACAAGTCAATCGCAAGTCAATCACAAGTCAATCACAAGTCAATCGCAAGTAAGGTCAGAAGTAACAGTGGATGAACAATAACAAAGGAATGCCTTTGTCAAAGTTCATTTGAATAGCTTGTGAGTTGACTTGGGACTGGAGGACTTGTGATTGATTTGTAATGACTTGTGATGATTTGTAACGACTTGTGATGACTTGTGATGACTTGTGATGACTTGTGACTGCCTCGATTACAATTCTGCAACACCATGTTATATGACTGAGCAAATTTGCTGCTGTAATACCAAGCACAAGAAAATGAACGTAAAGAACACATTAAGGCACGTTCTGTTGCATCAGAACAAATAAATGAGGCACAAAGACTGCTATATTTGAGTGTTAACTTTGTACACTTTTTCCAATGAATGTTGACCAAAAAAAATACTTTTCTTTGTGGAAAAAATACTCAAATGATGAATGAATATATTTTGGACTAATGTAAAATTTTACATCTTCGGGTCCCAAACCAATTTAACACTATCTCTCCCTGCAGTCGTTCATTCCTGGCCTACCACTGGGGTCTGTTTAATCAGTTTCCGGTGAGGCCACCATTCCTCCCAGCATGCCCTGGGCCGTGTTGAAGAGGTTGATGGGAGTGTTGCCGTCGGTGATCAGGGTAGACTTCAGCCCCAGACTCTGCAGGAGTTTCACCTGAGGGAAAGAACGAAAGAAGTAATTGATTATTTTGCTTATCGGAAGAAATGTAAGAAATATTTAGATACCTTTTTCAAATCAGAAATATTGCAGCGACGTAGCTTTCAATGTCATTACAACATCTTCATTCAGCGAAGTGAATTAAACCACTGCGGTCCTGTGACCACCTTTTATCGTAGTTGACTGGCAAGTCGTATGCCTTTTGTGTCCTGATTTGATTGCTTCGCCTATCTTCCTTTTCCAGAACTGGTCCTCCCTGGTAATGACTTGGACATTTTCCAAGTTGATGGAGTGTTGGTGATCTTTGATGTGTTCACCAACCGCTGTTAAAGGGACTAGCTTCAGGTTGGAATGGAAGGAATGTGGTTTGGGAACGAACGACGAAATGGGTTCTCTTCTTCAGCAGGAATCCCAGCACTTCATGAAAAACAACATTCCCTGATAGTTCACTGAGAAATTTCCAAAATTCCATGAGAAATATTTTCACTTTGAATGAGGTTGCTGGGAAGTTAAGAGGTGGTGTGGCACAGCAAATTGTTATCCGCTCCGTTCACAAGTACCCCCTCACCGGCACAGAAAGTACAGTTGGGGGTGACCAAACGACGCCATCTTGCCTGACTGCAAGATTTTGCCGCGAAGCGCGGCCACTGCGTGTACGAAGTACAAATCCCCTGGTGTACGTGCGTCACATACAAGGAACGGTGCACGCATCAACCAGCAAAATGTATGTGTCCCGCCAATGGGACGTCGTTGCTATGTAAAAGGGCGCCCTCTTTTGTTGGCGCACAGAGCCATTGTCTGGAGATGTGTGTAATATTCACACTGCATAAACACTAAAAAAACACTACAGCCAGTCAGTTAATGGACACAACTTGGACAAATTGCACAAGACGCATGATGCCAAACTGGCGAAAACCTTCCCCTTCTGGCTCCCATTCAAATTCCCCGAGTTTTCCCTGACTGGGAAAATGGAAACTAATTTTCAAGGTTTTCCCTGATTTCCAGAGTGGCTGGGAACCCTGTTCAGAACAGTGCACATAAAGCCCTACTGCCTGAGTAAAGAACTTAAGGTATGAGAATCGAGCAACGCTTGAGCTGGCTTAGCGACACCCACCTGCATCTCAGGTCCAGACACAGCGATGGCCCGGATGGTGTCCGATCCGATGGAAGTGACCATCTTGTTAAACTTGTCGGTCTCGATCTCCGACATCTCACGGGACTTGCCAATCTCCATCTCGTTCTGCTCAGTCACATACTTGAGCTCGGCCTCGCGGGCGTGGGTCAGACGATCAAGCTCAGATTCCTGGAGTGAAAAAAAGAGGATGGAATTAGAAAATATTGAGATTAAAGGGGATTAATGCCTTGCGGGCGTGGGTCAGATGCTTCAGGTCAGTTTCCTGGATTACCAAAACCTGAGGGATTAGCAAGAGATTGAGATTTTAGGAATGAATGCCCAGTTATGTGATCCAGCTCGGCTTTGCGGGCGTGGGTCCGATGCCCCAGCTCAGTTCCATGGATTACCAAAAACAGAGGGATTGGCGAGATGGAGATTAATAGGGGATTAATTGCTTAGTGATGTAACTTTGAGCTTAGCATCCTTGGAGTTGGTAAAACACTACTCGGATTCATGGATTAACCATCACCATTTGGAGAGTTCCCAGCTAAAGTTTTCCAGGCACATCAATTTGCTAACAATACTTCCTGCTTAGCAACTCAAATAAATTGGGTCCTTAACCCTAACCACACCAACCTGTCAAAATCCAACTGCATGCTTTGTTTGATTCTGTTGGAGTGAGGACTGCAGAAAATTGATTATGCTTTACATGGGGTCAGGCATAGCACTATAATCAGAGAACAGTTTGGTTGTTGAGTTACCAAATGGTGTTGGATTTTGCAAGAGTGAGGAAGGTTCCTAGTAAATCACTCAAGGGGGTTAGGGCTAAAGAATCCAATTTTAGGTAGCTGCTAGGCAGAAAATATGGGTATTTACTTGGTAAAAATTTGCTTGATATTTTGGCTGGTACCTGTTTTTTTTTGCAAGGAATTACTTTCTACGCTTAGCAAACTTTAGAGCTTAGCAACTCCAGGAAAACTGGGATCAGGTACGAATGTGTGACTCACGGCTTCAATCTTAGCAGCCTCAGCCTTCAGCTTAGCCTGTTCCACAGCCGCTTCACCCTCGATGCGTGCCGCCTCGGCACGGCTCTGGGCCTCAGCCTTGGCCTGCCCGGTGCTCTCCACCGCCGCGCTGTTGGCCTGCAGCAGGAGCAGCTCCTTGCGTGCCTTCTCCGCCTCGGCCTCGTCCATGATCTTCTGCCTCTCCAGACGGCCCTTGGCCTCCTGCTCCAGCCGCTCAGCCTCGTGTCTGTCAAAGACAATTGGAAGGATTAACCCTCACAATTGAAAAATCCTTCATAATCCTTTGGGAGGTTTGGAGGATGTTGAAGGATTGAGGAAGATGGAGCCTATCTAAGTACAAAGAGCGAGTTATTGTTCTACTGCGGGATTTGAGGATTTGGGAAGTTCCCATACAAAACCACATGGAAAGTTGGACTTCAGGATAAGTTAGACTTTGCAAAGCTCCTGTGCAAAACTCTGTGCATTGATCGTTTGAATATCTGTAATTTTTTATTCATTCTGAGACATCAAAGCAATGTTTTGCAAAAGGCCACTGATCTAAAAAACTTTGAAGTCTACGTACTTATGTCAAATACTCTGCACAAATTCTTTAAAAGTTGGTGCCACCATCAGTCAGATATTCAGCCATTTTTTTTTTTACAAACACCAGTGTCTCCAAAATGAGCTTAGCAATCCAAACAAGAAGTGTTACGAGTTGAAATGTGTGGAGCAATCCCTGTATTTTACCTGGCTGCAGCTTCCTGGGAGTTGGTGGTGATCTCAATGGCCAGCTGAACCGACTTCTGCAGGGCGTCACGAGTCCTCTGGTCCACGGGCTCTGCGGACTGGATATCGATGCTGGTGATGACCAAGTTGTTCTGGGGGAAGTGGAAGCGTTCCTTCACCTTCAGGTTCTCGTCCAGGCCAAAGACCGAGGCGCGGATGATCTTTGCCGAGTTCTGCGCAAAAGAATGCAAGGAAAAGCAACCGACTTTAGCTCTTTTTCTTCAGTCTTGATGATTTAGTTGTCACAGATAATTACAGCTGTCTGACATGAAGCAATGTCATTGTGCTGCTAAGCACAAAAGTTTGCTCATCACAGAAAAATATTTACTGGTCCAAAAGAATGGCTACCAGCCAATATTTCATGCAAATATAATGACTGTGATTGGACCTCAGCTGATTTTTTGGTAAGCATATATGCATTTATTAGACAATTTGCTTAGAAGCTCTATAAAATTGGTGCCTGGTATGATTTATGTTGGGTTTTTTTGTTTAACAATCCAGAATGAGTCTTAAAGAGAAACTGTATGAAATTTCGGCTGTTTTTTTTTTTTTAAGTAACAATTTGTTGAGAGGAGGGCTGTTATCCAATTCGTAAAAAAATCACCCCGGTAAATAACTTGCCTTAATGAAAGTTGTCATGAAAAGAAAAAAAAAACACAGAGGAGTTCAGGAACTCTGTTGTTTTTGTCTAAGGGTAAGAACCTTGAACCATTCCAAAATACCTGGGCTAGTCCATTTAATAGTCTTTTTGAAGTATGGTGGACACAATAGGATGCTGCTATTTGGAATAGGTATAAACTCGTTTGTAGTTCAATAGCACCCTACTATTGTGTCCGCCATACACACAAGTTTGCTTTACACACGTGACTATGATAAGCCAAAAAACCTATTCAAATCAAACCATGTCCCTCCATGTTAACTTTTTTTATTAATATATCAGTGAAGCAGAAAGGTTTTATTCCCCCCTTTACCTTGTGGAAATCATCAAAGGCAACTCCGGCTACAGCCCCTCGGATGCGGGAAGCGATGGCCTTGCAGGCATCGCCGATGAAGTCAGGAACGCTGAAGAGCTTGGCGGCCTCGGCTGCGGTGCTGTTCTTGTTGACGTCCAGATGCCTAGACAGAAATTATGAATGATTCATCACTAACCTCTGACCTCCAGATTAAATATCGTAAGAGGATGAGTAGAACTGTTGAGTTTATAATATAGTCTCTTTGCTAAAATGTCGGCATCAGACCAGCTAGGACATACTTATAAAAGACCTGAAACTTAACATTAACCCTAACTCCCTAGCATGATTTACTAGGAACCATACCCATCCTGGCAATTTCCAACACCATATGGGAAACTGCACATACATATTTCTGACTTTGATTCTGGAGGTGTGCCAACCCAATGTAAAAGACTGTCAGTTTAGGGGTACTGTACCCATCCCGACAGATTCCAACAAAACATGCCGTTGGGGTTTGATGGGTTGAGTTCTGTTAGGGTTAAGGAAGCTTGTGGTAAGGTAAATTGCTTAAGGACACTAAAAGTCTGAATAATCACTATATTGAACATTATCAAACCGTCCACACGAGTAACCTGTCTGTAAGCTACAATGTAGTCCTGTGTAAACAAAATAAGATCGCTGCCACCAATTACAACCTACCAAACTCTCTAAAATACGAGTATACAAACTAAGATGTGCACCAAAACGTTACTTTTGACCACAAAGATATTTCTCGGTTGGCCGCAAAGATATATCTGATTTGGTACAACACTCAACCCATGTTGCCCACATTCCAAAATTTGAGATAAGCATGCATTTGTAAATACCCAATTGGTCAAAGGCACACCGAGTACATATGCACAACCTCTGCATGAGCATTTTACCACATACACATATTGTCTCTGATGCAGATAACATTGATACCTTTGACCTTAAAGATATTTCTCATGGCCTCCTGTTAAAACGCCTTAAGGACTACTTAGGAGAAGAACCAACCAAGAACCAAGATAAAAACCACAAATTGACAACCTACCAGTTGTATGAGAGCTGCAGTTGCAGTCGGGCGTGATCGGAGGTCTCGATGGTGATGATATCCGTGCAGAAGTCCGGGCCCAGGAGAAGGCACAGGGACTTGATGACGTTGGGGCGTTTGGGTTTGCCTCCAGACAGACTCAGCTGGGTGAACTGCTCATCAGGGCCCAGCATGACCAGCTCGGGACCAAAGACGACCCTGCAAGAAATGTCAAAGGTTATTCCTAATTTTGTTCAGTGAAGCTAGCCTTTAAACTGTATAAAACCCTAAAAGGTTGCATTCCTTTCATTTTTTTCACGTATACAGTAAAAAAACATGTATGCTTGCCAAACAATTCTACACTCAAATCGTCAGTTTCCAAATATCGGGCATGTTTTAACTTCTCTTCAAAACGCATTTTTAATAACTATATATGCACTGTAATCTTAACAACTGTTATCCCCATGGTAGATAGAGTAGACCTAGACCTACCTAAGCACCAAAGATGACATCCAGAAAAATGTGTTATGTATGATAAACAAGACGTACAAAATCAGTTACTCACGTTATGAAAATGTAACGTGGGTAACCGTGGAATTGCCCTGTTGCTGATAATGGTCACAAAACTGATCAATCGCAATTCCACCCTCCTTACCTAGCTTTCTTCTCCTTGTAGTCGTAGATCTGCACCGCTGCATTGTGGGGCACTCGGAACGTCACCACCCGCGTCTTCTCCCGAGGTTTGTCCTTCTGACTGCCTGAGCCGCCGCGCTCGCCCCGGTCCGCCAGGGGGTCCTTCATGCTGATCAAGAGGGTCTCCACGGCTGGAGGCAGCTCCTTCTGCCAAAGCTCCTCATCTTGGCTCAGCATGTAGGTCACGCCGGTGATGGCACGCACCTGGGGGGAAAAGCGACAGCAACAATTTCAACATATCTTCTGAATGGAGCAGTGTTGTAGTCAAGACCTCCCATCTAGACTGAAACCAAGGCATTCGAGACCTGACCAAGACCAAGACCGAGACCAGACTTCATGGGTCTCGACAGTAAAACTCGGGTCTCGAGAGTAAAATCCGAGACCTTGCGATCAGAGACCGAGTCCGAGACCAGAGCTTTCGAGATCGAAACTCTGATAGGACGAGACTGAGACCGCAAAAAAAGGTCTAGGACAGTCTCGACACCGAGACTAAGTCTCGAGACCTACAACATTGGAATGAAGTGAGTTGTTAGTTCCTGAAATTTGTTGAAATATTGTTTATCGTGGAAACATCTGGAGTCTATTTAACAGAGCTGTTAAGCACAAAGGTTTGCTGAGCACGAAGCCCATAACAATGCAGGTTGCTTTTCATTTCTTAGACCCGTACCTTTCCTGTCTTGGTATCTCTGACGTAGATACCCTCGTTCTCATCCAGAGGGATGGCCTTGCGACGGTCCACCACCTCCACCTCCACGGGAGGGACGTACTCCTTGGGACCACGGATCATCCACTTGTCACCTGGCTGGCGATCCACATCCTGAACACAGGATAAAAAGAAAACATGACTGACTTTTGATTTTTCTGATCATCAAATTAAATGCTGTCACTGGCATTTATCTGCGGTTTCCTTGGCATGGAACAACTAAGATGTTTCTATTCCCCCGGATGGGATACCAGTCCATCACAGGTTACTCCCCACCTAATACCAGGACCCATTTATACTCCTGGGTTGGAGAGAAGCAAGTGGAGATAAAGTGGCTTGCCCAAGGACATATTATATAACCAGCAGCTGGAATTGAACCTCTGACCCTCTGATCAGGAGTCACGAACCCTAACCACTACGCCACACTCCCCACAGTGCTCCTGGGTGGAGAGAGGCAAGTGGGGGTGATGTGACTTGCCCAAGGACACAACATATGACCAGCAACTGGATTCGAACCCCTGACCCTCTTATCACGCGTCACGAACCCTAAACACTAGGCCACACTCCCCCATTGCTTAAACACATCAAAAACTTTTCCACATCTGAATCAGCATGCAGGTTATAACTATAGTGAAACCATAGAGCAGTTTTTGTGGCCTGTCCTTTTTATTCCTGCTATCCTTCTTTACCACACATCAACTTTGTCACAAATACTTATACCAAAACTGTCTTAGAAACTTACAGCGTCTGTGTCCTTGAAGGCCTCCTGGGACCTGAGCATGAGTCCCTCGTCCTCTCCCAGGACAAAGATACCTTGGATGCCCTTCTCAAGATGCTCACCGGGACGCAGGAAGAAAGACTTCTCACCCTATAAGACATCAAGGAGAGAAGAACAGGAGGACTTCAGAGTTTCTTGCTCAACTTTAGCTGGTTTAACCAATTTCAAAATTCCCGGAGATCAAAGTGTTATTAAGGAAAAGGGGTTTATGGTGTTAAATGCACAACATTTTGTTGTTGCCAAGAATTGAAGCATAGATATGGTGCATTAAACTTAATAGAATATGGGCCATTAGGTAATCTAACAATTCCAATGTACTAACATATAACTACTGTGATACTTAACATAATTACATTGTTGTGTAGGGGAAGGTTATATGTTTGTTGGGGGGGGGGAGTGGTGGTATGTTTTGGGATTCTTTCTCTTTCTTTCAATTTCTCACATAAAGCATTACAGAATTGCTTTGCACCAATCAACTTGGGTCTTCACAGTTGAAAACCAAATTCAAGTGATAACATTTCTCAAGGTTTTCAAGCTAAATCACAGGCTACACTCAAAAGGCGGGCAAGAAAGTCGTTCCGATATAACTTTGTACCTACCTTGACTAGTTTCTTCTGGCCCAGCTGTGGCTTGCCGTCCTCACCTACAGGATCCAGGATCACACAATACTGCCGGTTGGTCAGAGTGGTGATGGCTACGACTCCAACAACCTACAAAGTGCCAAGCGAACAGTAAACAGTCACAAAATGAAAACAGAGTACCAATGCATTACCTAATAAACCCCCAAGGTGTTTCGATCTGTTTTCAAATAATCTTTGTAAATCTGCCAAAATCCAACACTGAGATGGTTGGCTTCATCATTTTTGCCAGTAATTTGAGGTCTACAAGGAAAGTAAACACACGTTTGGTGCTGATTAACCCTTCTTTTTGCTTGATCAGTTACAGACAGACAACAATTAAATCCTGTTCCCCTGCCATATGCCAGGCATGCAACATGGAACTAACAAAAAATGAGGAAATACCAATCTTTACAGGACTTTGTACAGTGTTTTTTAATTTTAAATGGCAAAAGTCTGAAGGGAAAAACGAGGAAATCAGCTGATCCAAGGAAAAGTTGCATGCCTGATATATCTTTTACACAGGCTAGTCCCCATCAGTCAGATCATATTTCCTGTACGCAAGAGGTGCTGGTATTATTTTTGAATGATTATCATAATCTAAAAATCTCACTATATGTAAGGTTTTCTTTTCCTGCATTTAATTCGGGCGATTCACAATGCAGTGCGCGCCACCAAGAGTTTGCCACGAAGAGCTCATTTTTCCCAGTGCATTGTTGGAGATGGTCGACAAATTCGCAGCGCGGGACATTTGAAATTGTTCGTTTTTCCAGTCAGTTGTTTCGTAAGCGTATGATTCGAGTATTTGTTTGCCCTTTTCTTTTCTTTGTATCAATATGGTGTTTTTTGTAAGGCGGCAAAAGGCAAGCCCCAATCTATAACAAATTAGCTCAAGTTGTCTACTGACACTCATTCAAATGGGCCATGTTTTGTTGATCAAACTTGAAATATGGACTCTCCATGACAAACTCTTGGTGGCACACTGCCTTGTGAGTTGCCAGAATGAACCTACCTCCTCGTAGACCTGAGGAATGTGGGCTTCAGTGTCCTCCATGGTGATCAGCCATTCCTCTCCGTTCTTCCTGACCACGCCATGGTCGTCCTTGAAGGTACGGGTTGCAGTGACGTGGAGTGCTTTCTGCATGAAGAAAATTACCAAAAAATGTTCATCAATTTGTGGGTGATAGTTATTAACCCTAACCTTCCCAAATCATCCAAAATTCTCTTCGCAAAATGGGGTATTTCGCAGGATTGAGGCTATATGGCAAAAATGTGTGTCTGATTTTGGAGGATGCGCTGTCAAGATCTTATTAGGCCGGATCTTGTGTTATTTATGCTCAGTGGTGCATAACTTTAAGCCTAGATTATACTTGAAATCCTCCGCACTGCTCCAGGATGTCACTGGCTGTGCCTCAACATATTGCAAGTGATTGCTGGAGGATTTTGCAAGATCGAGGCAGTGGTCGTCCTCCAAGGACCACACTCAAAAAATAACGGATGAAGTTGGAAGATTGAGACTGCATGCAAGTTTTACATGGAGGCAATTGGAGGATTGTGCAGGATTGAGGCTGCATCCTAGCAAAAAATGCCTGGGGAATTAGGGTTAAGTGATGGGTGACTTTCATACAAAAGGGCAGAATGCCGTAGATGATGTACCTTGTCTGTCAGCACGTAGGCATTCACCACGCCCACCACCTCCTCGTAGGCCCCCGGCAGGTAAGCGCCAACCTTTTTGACCAGCCACTCTTCCCCGGTCACTCTGGCATCCCCCTGTCGGTCCAGTGTCTCCTTCCTTGCCCGCAGCTTGATGGCCTGGTTGGCCTTGATGATGGTCGCCCGGACCGTCTCGTCCACGACGACTTCCTTGCGGGGGATGTAGGTGCCCGGACCTTCAAAGAGCCACTCGTCGCCGGCCACGCGCTTGGTCTTGGCCACGGCGTCGTCGAAGTCTAGGATAGCGCGGAGTCGGAGGGCCGAGTTGGCTGGGACTACCTTGAGTGCAGTCACAGGCTGAAACACAATGGGGAAAAATCTATGATACAACAACTGAGTAAACCAGTTGGGAGTCTTATCCACTTCAGGATAAATACATATGGTAATCACATACAAGTCAACAGCCCATTCGATTACTGCCCCCGCACTTACTCGTGCAAGTGCCACTGCGTTCAAATTAATCCTCACGTGACTTCTCACGCTTACGCGAGCCTGGCCCAAGTAACCGACCCGCTGAGCCCGTTACTCGGTTAAATGTCCCACGTGTAAGTCTAACGCTGCGGCGGGGAGAATTCAAAAGTGTTTCAGGTTCACTTGACTTCACACTTGTACAAGACGACGGGATGAAAGTCAAGTTTTAAAATTTAAACATAGAGCAAGGATATACATGGGATTTCTTGTTCACTTTGGAAGAGCAGTACAGTGGTGGCCACCACGGCTCGCTTTCGACGGCTCGAATCCACTATGCAAAGAGGATTTAATCGCCGCAAGACCTCTTGACTCGGTTCGGTTGCTCTGGCTCGACCTGGAGTAACCCGCGATGATTCGTTTATTGCTACAGATTGCACATGTGCATCTATACCCAACACGAAATTAAGGGTAAGCTTGAGGGAAGTAATCAAATGCGCTGTCTGTGTCTGTACAGCCCTACTGCTTTAAGACCAATAAATAAAAGTAACCAACAAACGTCGAGAGAAACAAATAACAAAACACAGCAAATTACCAGTTTCAGGATTTCTCCCGGGTAGAGAGGGAATGGTTCTTGAGTCAGACGGATCTCCTGGTCGGCGTGGTTCAGCTTGATCTGTCCGCTCTGGTCCTCAATCACCGAGCCGTCCTCGTTGCGCTGGACAGGGTTCTCAATGATGCAGTAGTGACGAGGGGGGACCATGGCCATCTTCTCGGGACCGAAGATGACCCTAAAAAGGGGGAAAAGGAAAGGACGGAGATCTTGAGGCTCAGAAATATATTTTTTGTATCAAACGTCTAATGCGAAATATTTAGGATTGACTGTGCCTTAAAGCTGAGATCTGAGTATGGTCACATTCGCACGGCCATGTTGATGAAATTCAATCCCGTGCCAACATTGCTCCATGATCTTGGAAAGCTCAAGCCATGTGAGGGGGTAGTGTCTCGTTATTTTGGAAACCTGAAGGGATGGTAAACTAAAGAGAAGGTAACCTGAAGGGAAGGTAGCCTAAAGGGAAGGTAGCCTGAAGGGAAGGTAACCTGAAGGGAAGGTAACCTGAAGAGAAGGTAACCTGAAGAGAAGGTAACCTGAAGGGAAGGTAACCTGAAGAGAAGGTAACCTGAAGAGAAGGTAACCTGAAGAGAAGGTAACCTGAAGAGAAGGTAACCTGAAGAGAAGGTAACCTGAAGAGAAGGTAACCTGAAGAGAAGGTAACCTGAAGGGAAGGTAACCTTGTTCAAGATTTGATGATGTGTCTTACCTTTCATGGTCCTGCCTGATGAATGTGCGGGGCCCAGTCTCCACAGTGGTGACATTTGTGTTGTGGTTGAGCACGTGGATGTAGTAGTAGGGTGGGATCCTGTAGATGGACTCCTCCGAACCACTCCCGCCCGCAAAGCCGAAAGGGGCACCGCCACGCTTTCCCTTTTCTGTCATTTTGATTGTTTATTCTGTAATTAAACATATTAGAATATTACAATTAAGATTTATTTCTGGAAATATTGCACAGGACACATGTATCACTGATTAGTCCCTGTGGTACCAAGTGCATGTACAGAAATCTGTAGAGAGAAGATAATTCCAAAATCCTCCAAAATCCTCTTTGCATAAAGTGGAAGATTTCGAAGGATTGAGCCTGTACGGCAAACCTGTGTCAGTTGATTTTGGAGGATGCATTGTGTTAAGCCAATTGTAAAGATCAAAGTTCATTTTTAATAAAGTAATTACAACCTTAAGCTTCAACACATCACACATTCCAGGCAACCCGCCTTGTTTATCCAAGTAAGGTTTTGGTTGGATATTAAAATGTCACAGATTAGTTTCCAGTGTTGACACCTGACGCTCCCTTCTTCTGAAATCTCTCCAATAACACACTACAATGCTTTTTAAATTATAAAAAAAAGATTTCAATATCCTCGACTTAAAGGCAGAGTACATCATTTGCAGCGTTCCAAAAAGTAACTGACAAAGTTATTGCTGAAAAGCATACTTGGTTTAAAGATGGTAATGGCACTAAACTCCCTGTGAAATTATTCTTTCCGCCATGCTGTCATGAAGAAAACAAAAAGAGAAGGCAATTTCCAACGATGCATCTAAAGACGCATTTTTGGAAATTTCTGTTAGTAGTTTTAATTTGGCAAAGTCTAATAGGCACGCGGGCAAGCGTTGACACGATGCACACGGGCACGTGGTTGCTATTATACATCAGTGCAGTGTGTGACATCGAAGTAGCTGCAATCGGCTAAATGAGAACGTGTCCCGGATGATGATTTCGGGTGTAATTCAAAACACGACTCGGCAACTTGTGAATTGAAATCGAGATCCTAGAATATTGTTTTCCCTCATTTTATAGCATGTACTGAGCTGAAACGTCATCAGTTTAGTTGTTAAGTACCCTTCTTTAGATTTTCAGCACTTTGGTTGCTTCAATCGCAAAAAATGCACAAATGTCAAATGATGTACTCTACCTATAGGCCATGTGATTTTATAGTGTGTAACTTAGATCCCAGCAGTAAAGTCATAAATCAGGATTCTGTAACAACTTGCGCAGAGGAAACTACCCCTTTTTAGTTTTAGTATTAACTTCCTGATAAACCCACACCATTTCCTTCATCTGTGGCTGAGTCAACTCAATCAGTTTTCCAAAAAATGTTTAAAGGTGAAAAGTGACATGTCAATAATGCAAACTTGTACATGTACGCAAATTACACATGTTCTTCCACTTTCACTGCTTTGTGTCTGTGATATTAGAGTTTACACTACTTTGTACATGTAACATGGAAGAGTGAAACCTAGGGATTAATAGATTTGTAATTGTATGCAGTAGACATCGCTATACCTAACACCGCTATAACGAACATTCTGCTAAACTGAACATCGTCCGATCCTTGGCCCCTGATTTTTGTCTACAAATCGTACCAAACAGACAAGTGGCTATTATTTTCCCGGAGAAAGCCACCCATTGCTGTAGGTAGTAAGCTCAAAAACTGTGTAATTACATAATTCAATAGTCGGCACGGCTACAAAGTCGTCTTTCAGTATTAACTACCACTACCAGGCATGCAGGGTGAAGTTCTGAAGGGCACTATTTATTGAAAAGTGAGTACCAGAGCACCGGCAGCTTAAAATCGCTATACCGAACAATCGCTATTACAAACAATTTCTGTGGATCCCACGATGTTCATTAGCGGCGTTTCACTGTACATGTATTTCAACAATAATCCTATTCCAAATACCACCACTATTCCGTACTGGCAGTAGACATTTAACTGGTTTTTGTTTGTCATTCAATTTTTGCGTGCACTTGAGACCTATGAAAGCTGACTGACAAACTTGCATCAACGGCTGTTGCCTGCAAATATCTTTAGCTTCGCTTTATAGCTCTACTCCTCTAGTTCTTGAAGAGCTAGAATTCATTCCTTTTTCCAGTATTCAAGCAGTAGGCCTATTTGCGATAAGGCTTATTATGTGCCGCAGACCACATACCGCCTAGCTTAGTCTGAGTAACTAGGACTCGACGAATCGCCTTTTTTAACATTTGGAGACTATCGCCCGACCATCTTCAAATGATAAAAAAGGCTATTCGTTGAGTCCAAGTTACTCAGGCGATCGTGAAGTATAGGGCCCCTGTTTTGTTTTGATCAAATTAGAGTCAAAAATGTATTTTATTGCTCAAAATTCACCTTTACAATCAAAAGCAGACTTTTCTCAATTCTAATGACACCCGTTTTGCAATTTTGAACAGATTCTTGGGGTAGAAATCATGATTTTCCAGCGCGGTTTGTGCCTTGCGATTCAGCGCACCGTGCGTGCTCACGGTACATTGCGCGGTGATTGCCATCTTTACTTTCGGGTCGCGTGTTGTCACCGCACTGTCATCGTCATTTTACCCCCAAATTTTCCTCAAAAAATCAAAACCATGTCCTCTTTCTAAGACATAGGCCTATCTGTTTTTGAGAAAGTCGCTTACTACTAGTTTGGTGTTGGTAGACCTGTCCAATAACTTTATTTGGAATTTGCTCCCTTATATAGGAACCGGGCCCTACACTACACTATCGCCGTTACTTCCTCCATGCTCGGACCTACTTCTGAAATCAGAAGGCTTCTCTCCCTGATTTCAGAAGTAACTCGGACCATGGCGGAATAAAAACACAGCTACAGTAAAAGTATCCCCCTGTATGCACGCACACATGCACCTCCAACAGCTGAAGTGCACAAAATCCTGCAGGTCAATCCAGAAAAACAAGCCCTTAAAACATCCCCAAAAGGTATGTAATGCAACGCAACCAGCTTGGAAATCACGAGAAACATTTATATCTTGAAACTGTCCAGCCATGTACCGTTATTATTGCCTATCTAACTTACTAATGTACAACAGAACGGGAAATAACCAGAGTTTCACTTACCCACTTCCGTGAAATATGCCGAACCGATGCAGAAACACCGTGTATTTTATGCAGGGGCGTGTTGCAAGGTACTTGTGCAATGGTGGCTACGCACGGACCAATCAGCGTTCAGCACATTAGCTAGACGCCTACCTAGTTACTATTACTAGCGATTACATCATAATTTTTGCTCCCGGCTTCGGTAAAAAAAAAAAAATCAATATGACTGTACATTGTACCGTACCTGCGGACGTCATCAAATAGAGTGAAAAAATAGAAGCTCAAACAAAGCAAACTAAAGACTGCTGACCCTTGCAGAAGACGTGACAATAGTTTCGTTTTACACATTCAATATTGACAGAAGTTACTTTCCGTACCAACGGTAGTTTATACGGGGGAAAAATAAGATAAATATATTGCGGAAACAGCCTTATAATAATAGTATAAGTAGTAAATTATAGGCTAATGCGGGGAAATTACTACTTAAACAAAAATCGATAGGCCTAAGTGACTGCCCAGCAAGATTTTACAAATGATTTCATTATTTACCTAACACATTTGATCGTCAAAATTACCGAGAAACATTTTGTATTGAATCACTGACCGTTATTATCCCAGGGATTCAAAGTAGGCCTACAAGTGCAGGCATCGAACAGTACTAGAAATTGTAATCTCATCTACATGTGGAAATGGTAAATTATAGAAAAACTCAATTCTAGAAAAATCTGAAGATGCTATTTAAGATGTTGATATATTGTGAAAGATAGCCCAAAAAATGCTGATGTAAGCAAAGTGCCTAGTGAGTCACACTGCTTAACATCGTGCTGTGCAGCCATCATTTCATAGAGTGTCATCATGATCACCCTTCCTCCATGGTGTCATCAGCACTTTACGATCAACCTATTTATTGGGACGGTCTGATATATGAATCAACATCTAGCATTGTTGTGCAATTATTGTTCACAACTTAACTTTCTCTTCAAGACTTATCCGCATTCCTTACATTTTGTGACCTGTTAATAGTGATGAGCACAGCGAATTTTTTTTTGGGGGGGGGGTTGAAGAATGCATATTTTACAGAAACAAAAATTGGGTAATAAACAATATGTCAGCTTTCCCAAATCATGCAGAAAATAAAAAATCTAAAAACAAAACCTACCTAGACACGGATGGGGCAAATAGTAATATCACCACAGAACCCGGATGCTATCAAGGGCGGATCCAGAACACAATTTTTTTTGGGGGGGGCCCAAAAAATTTTTGGTCCCCCAAAAAAGTGGGTCAAAAAAATATTACGGCGTGGGGATCGGGGCCCGCTTAAGGGCCCCGAAAAAAATTTGGATTCTAGATGCTCTGTGGTGCGATCTGAGGCAATTTCTGACCACTTTAACCAATTTTTTTTTTGAGGAAAAGATGGTGGTGTACTCATTGCCTGCCTTTATTGCGATGTCACATAAAAAAAAAAAAAAATTGGTTTCGTTTTTTTGGGGGGGGGGGGCATGGCCCCCTTTGCCCCCCCCCCCCCCCGGATCCGCCCTTGGATGCTATTCGTGAACCTTTGATCGAAAATAAATTGTCTGAAAATAACATATCTAATTGACATGACAAGGTGAGCTATCTTCATATGATTTTCTAAAAGTTAATTTATTAAAACAAACAGATCAGATATATTTATGATGAAACAAAGGGGCTGGATCAGGAGCCGGGGTCGCCGTAAAAAGATTTCAGTACACGCTCCTTAAAGATAGTTTTCCGTGGTCTTTAAAAAAAAAAATTCTCCTAAAGAATTTCAATTTGTATGTTCTGTTTTTACGGGGAGGACCTACTTTTTAAAAGGGGCTTATATTTTGCACCCGATTGATATTGAACCCGCCCTGCGAGAGCCGTATTGTTGTCACAGGCCGCAAATTAAGTAGATTTTGTAGTTCGATAGAACGAACGTCGGTGGAATTGTTTTCGTTCGATGTCTGATTCAAAAGTGAATAACTTTAATATTGCTATATAGGAAAACTGAAAAAATGTTTCGGGTTCAAACTTGGTATAACACGGGAAATATGAGATAAGTCAGAATAGTCAGAATCAGACTTCACACCCCCTAAAAGAAAAACAGAAAATGGCAACATTGTTTTATTAGGCCTATATATGAGCAATCATTTTCTCCATCACAATAGACCGATGCCGTCATATATTATTCCCATTCAAAGAAGGTGTATGTCTAGCTGGGAGGGGGGGGGGGGCAATGCTGCTGGAACCAGGAGCGCAGCATACCGGGGTTCAACACGGATGGACGGAAATTAGACGCTCACTGGGTAGTTCAGTTCTGTGATTTATTACGCACTACGATCATTTTAACGAGAACTAAAGGCCCCCCCCCCCCGCTCGAGGTATATGCCCTATGCCCACACCCCATCCCAGTGGCCAAGTGACCCACCGGTTTTAGCATTTTTGGTCATCCCCCTCTCGCCGACACGGATGTACGCCACTGCCCTTGGGTGACACTGGGACGACTTTAAGGCAGGTTTTATCCGTGATGACAAAAACATTTCTTTGTGGTGACAACAACATTGGTTTGTCCTAATATTTTTATAAGCTTATTTAACCTATCCTGAACATTAATTAAAGGAAATTGCAAACCAGTCCGGTAGGTAATGATTGAGTTATTGTTCAAGCAACGCGTGTGTATTTTCTGTACACTGAGACGGCCTTAAGACAGGTTTTCTCCGTGATTACACAATTTTGTTTGTGACTGCAACATTGGTTTGCCTTAATACTTTATATGCTTATTTAACCTGCACTTAACAATAATTAACGGAAATCCAAAACAGTACAATAATTATTTAATGAGTTATTGTTCAAGCAACGCGTGGGTTGTTTCTGCGCGTTCAATAGTCGGGAGTATTTTCTGTACACTGGGACGTCTTTAAGGAAATTAAGGCAGGTTTTATCCGTGATGACAAAAAAAGTTCTTTGTAGTGACTGCACCATTTGTCTGTCCTAATATTGTATAGGCTAATTTTACCTATCCTTAACATTAATTAAAGGAAATTTTAAACCAGTCCGGTAGGTATTGACTGAGTTGTTGTTCAAGCAACGCGTGGGTTGTTTCTGCGTGTTCAATAGTCGGGAGTATTTCCTGTACACTGGGACGTCTTTAAGGCAGGTTTTGTCCGTGATTACACAATTATTGTTTTGGGTGACTGCAACATTGATTTGTCTTAATCCATTATAGGCTTATTTGAACTTTACTTAACAATAATTTACGGAAATTTCAAAACAGTACGATAACTATTTAATGAGTTATTGTTCAAGCAACGCGTGGGCTGTTTCTGCGTGTTCAATAGTCGGGAGTATTTTCTGTACACTGGGACGACTTTAAGGCAGGTTTTCTACGTGATTACACAATTATTTCTTTTGGTGACTGCAACTTTAATTTGTCTTAATACCTTATAGGCTAATTTTACCTATCCTCAACATTAATTAAAGGAAATTTCAAACCAGTCTGGTAGGTATTGATTGAGTTATTGTTCAAGCAACGCGTGGGTTGTTACTGCGTGTTCAATAGTCCGGAGTATTTTCTGTACACTGGGACGTCTTTACGGCAGATTTTCTCCGTGATTACACAATTATTTCTTTTGGCGACCGCAACATTGATTTGTCTTAATACTTTAAAGGTTGATTTGACTTATACTTACTAATAATTAACGGAAATTCCCAACCAGTACGACAAGTATTTAATGAGTAAATGTTCAAGCAACGCTTGGTTTGTTCCTGCGTGTTCAATAGTACGGAATATGTTCTGTACACTGGGACGTCTTTAAGGCAGGTTTTATCCGTGATGACAAAAAAAGTGTTTTGGGGTGATTACAACATTGTTTTGTCTTAATACTTTATAAACTTATTTAACCTATACTTAACAATAATTATCGGAAATTCCAAAACAGTACGATAAGAATTTAATGAGTTGTTGTTCAAGCAACGCGTGGGTTGTTTCTGCGTGTTCAATATCTGCGTGTTCATTATCTACTGTTTTCATCCACAGGTTTTTACTTCCCATTTGTTTTCTCTCCTTTTTTTGACAGGTCACAATAACTTTTGCTCTCTCCTTTCAATGCCCCTGTTTTTCCCTGTTTGCTTTACTTCTCATCTTGTCATGTCTTTTTCCCCCTTTCTAACATTTTCTTCCCCTGAGTAATAACCCACAGTTTGCTTCCCTCTGCAGTTTCATTGTATAACATTGTGTTTTTCGAGATCATCTGTTTTCCTTTTCAGTACACATTTCCTTTTGTATAATAACTCCGTTTTTTTTCTCCAGTTTATTTTGTCAAATTCTGATTGCACTACTCCTCTCCACAGTTTTTCTCCCATGTTTGTTCCCTCCTTCGATCATGTCTAACCAAAGATACGTTCGCTTGTTTCAGGAACTTAGGAAACTTAAAGAGAAAGCACTACATTATTCGTATCATCGAGACAACTACAGATTCTACACACTAACCAATTTCATTCCCACAGGTTTGCAGGTTAAATTTGACCCAGCCCTTGGGTCTCTGTCTACCCCACTTCGCAAGCGGTGGAACAGCACACTCCATAGTACATCTCTCAGCCTCATTCGTATTCTAACAGAACATTGTGATGTTTGTCTCAACAGCTTCAACCAAGATATTTCCTGTCTTCAAGCAGAACTTAGATCCATCTGCTCAGAAGCTCGTTTTGCGCAATTTACCAGTGAGATCGATACTGGTTTATCTAAACTTGAATCTGTTCTTAATTGCAGGAGAAATGGTAAGATTGGTCGTCTTGTCGCCAAACAGCAACAGTACAGACAGCGACGTTTCAAGCGTAACATACCCCCTGAGGCTGAGCAGTCAGCCCCTCCATCCACAGTTATTAACCTCTCATCATCTACCCTTTCAGATTCAGAACACAGCCTGCTCTCCAAGGGACTCAACTTCTGCCCCACTCCCCCCACAGCCTCAATCAGGTTGAGCTCAGTCAGGACCTCACTGACTATACCGCAGAATTCGCCTTCGTGAATTCTTCCTTGACTCACCATGCACCCATGGATCCAGAGCCATTTTACTGCAAGAGTAAATGGGCACCACCAAAGAACCGTGTTCCTTCCCTTGAAACTTACATACAGGTTGTTAGTTCACAAATTAATTCAAGCGATCATTCCACCCATTGGACTCATGACAACCTCCCTAGAGAAGAACGTGAGGCCCTTAAGACTCTACGAGCACGGAAGGACATCATCATCAAACCAGCTGACAAGGGCTCTGCTGCTGTTGTCATGGGCCGTCAGCAATACATCGATGAAGCCATGAGACAACTCAACAACCAAACTAACTATAAACCCCTTGACACTGATCCAACAGGTACCTTTTCAAAGGAGATTCAACAGACACTGGACGAAATGCATGACCGTGACCACCTCTTCAAGAAAGCTCACAAGTTTCTTTCCCCAGTCGATTGTAGAACAGCTAGATTTTACCTTCTTCCCAAGGTACATAAACCAGATAACCCAGGGAGACCCATCATATCTGGCAATGGTTCCCCCACTGAGAATATCTCTTTTTGTTGACCGTTTTCTCAAGCCTCTAGTGCCACAGATTCCATCATATATTCATGACACTCCTGATTTCCTCCGTAAAATCTCAGGTATTCAGAACCAGGTCCCCAACACAGCTATCATCGGTACTTTTGATGTGTCCTCTTTGTACACCAACATTCCCCAAGATGAAGGGATTGCTGCCTGCTCTTCAGCTTTGGCTAAGAGCAGTCACGACTCACCGCCCATTTCTGATATAGTATCCCTCATGAACCATGTTCTAACTAAAAACAATTTTTCGTTCATGGGTAAGAATTTCCTACAGGTACATGGCACCGCTATGGGTACACGGATGGCACCATCAATGGCCTGCCTATTCATGAGCCAACTTGAACAGCGCATGTTGGCGTCAGCCCCGTGCCGTCCCTGGGTCTGGTGGCGCTATATTGATGACATCTTTTTCATCTGGACCAGTGATGGATCTAGCCTCACAGCATTCATTAATCACATCAATTCCTTCCATAGGACCATCAAATTCACAACCGAATACTCAACCAAGGATACCCACTTTCTGGATGTCAAGGTTCTAAAGACGGACGATGGTTTGATCACAGATCTCTTAGTTAAACCCCCAGATAAACACCAATATCTCCACTCAACCAGCTGTCATCCCCGACACTGCAAAACCAGCATAGCCTACAGTCAGGCCCTCAGACTCCGTCGAATCTGTTCTAAAGATTCCGATTTTATCCACCACTCACAGGAACTTAAGAAACACCTCGTCTCCCGGGGTCATAGCTCCCTGGCAGTCCATCGAGCAATCCAGAAAGTCAAGGCTCGCTCCAGGGAGTCAGTACTTTCAAAAAGACCTGTTTAACAACAGAGTTCCAAGGAGAAAGTTCCCTTTGTTGTCACTTTCCACCCCTCACTTCCCCCCATTTGTACAATAACCAGTTCTAACCATCATATTCTTCACACGTCAGATCGACTTCAACGTGCTGTACAAGAAGAACCCATGGTTGCCTACAGACGGCCACCCAGTCTCAGGGATCTCATTGTCCGGGCAGAAGTCCCCCCCCCCCCCTTAATGATAATGTTAACCCCCCTTTGCCACAGTGAACTTTCAGGTGTCCCAACACCTCCAAATGCATCCTCGGTAGACAACACATCAGAGAATCGGACTCCTTCACCAGCCATACCGGTGGTACCACCCATAGGACAAGGGGTCATGTCACCTGCACCACCACCAATCTAATCTATTTAATATCTTGCAAAGTTTTTGGTGTTCAATATATAGGTGAAACGAGAACTACACTCAAGAGACGTTTCTACGGCCACAGATCCACAGTCAACACCCATAAGCTGGATACACCCGTAGGACATCATTTCAATCTTCCTAATCACTCAATTTCTGACATGATTTTACAGGGCATTGAGGCACTAGGAAACCACAGAGAGATTGTTCGTCCGAGTAGAGAGAAATTTAATATGGATAAGACGTCTCCAGACCATCCAACCCCATGGTCTGAACATCCAAGAAGGAAATGACTAATAACTTTTTGTCTTTACCTTCTCCTTTTCACCACAGATAAGCCACCCCCCCCCTCCAGTCTGCCTCATTCACCAATTAACTACCTTTCTCTCCCTCTCCTATCATTGACTTTGTCCTTTGTGTTCCCCACCTCTTGTGGTCAACCATCCCCTTCCCCCAATCCCCCTCCTTTCTGTTCAGCCACCTGCTTTCTCTGTGTATTTTCCTCTGCATCATCTATTTCCACTTGACTTATGTTAAATACATTTTTACAAGATGTACATGCTGAAGATAATTTAAGGGGGTGGAGACAGGGCAGGCTGGGGGGGGGGGGGGGGTTCCCTCCATTTTAAGACTTCCTAAAACAGGTTACATGGGCTCAACAGCGCTTGCTGTAAGTGGTATGTTTGTCTGAATCCCTGTATGAATGCAAAAATGTTGTGTCAGGCAGGCAGGGTAACGACTTGAACCACATCCGTGCCTCCATTCCCATGGTTCAAATCAGTGATTTAGTCAAGTCCCTGCAAGTCCATCACAAGTCCTCCAGTCCCAATATAACTCACAAGCTATTCAAATGAGCTTTGACAAAGGCATTCCTTTGTTATTGTTCATCCACTGTTACTTGTGCCTGGACTTGTGATGGACTCAAATACATGTTCAATGACAACAGAAATTATTTCAAACGTAAATATACGAGTATATATAGTCACTACATGCCAAACCTTGCAAAATTTAAGTCAGCCAAGTACATAATTAAGCACATTTGACGTATACAGTGAAATCTGATAACTCAAAACAAATGTCAAGTCAAACAAAGTATCCATTCCCTTCAGTATAAGTATAACAATGATATACAACCCTGCTTAACTCAAAACTCTGCTGAAGTCAAATTTTGAACCTGTTCCCTTGAGGTTTGATTTACCAAGATTGATATTCTGGACCCGCCTCTAATACTGAAGTTTAGAGGTGCCTAAACTTAAAGGGAAAAAAAACCTCTGCAGTGAAGCCCAATGTAAAAGCAAAAGATTTGGACAATACACTGATGAATAGTTGAAATAACTTTGAGGAAACAAATTTAACAGCACCACAGCCACCTTTGAGAAGTGTGCTTATTTGTTCAACGGGGACACCCATGAGTAGACCTCTGATGCATTTATTATTATTATTATTTATTCATGCCAATTCTATTTCATCACATACAAGATGGGCATAGGAGAGGCAAAAGCGATAACAATCACTGTGGTCAAAGACCTGCCAATCCTCATCAAGTTATGTACAGAGTAAAAAAATATATATAAAAATACTAATATAAAAAGTATTTGAAGCCAAAAGTTAGAACTTAAAAATATTTAAATATAAAAAGAAAAGGAATTACTGGAAATGAATGAAGATAATGTCCGCAATTGAATATGAAATTAAATAAGTTACATGAATAAGCAATTAATGATAAAGACACATTAAATAAGGACATAATAAACACAAATTAATAAATGAATAAGAGAACAGTAGGTAAGTGTACAATCAATGTAATGAAAATCTAAAGGGTGATTGGCAAACCGGAGGCTGAAATAGTACTTAAAATGAGAAGAGACCTGCTGCTCCTCATCGAGGTATGAGAAAAGTAAATAAATAAATATAAATAAGAATATATAAAAAATAAAAATAATAGAACATATGAACATTTCGGGAAAAAAAATATGCATTTTTGGAAATTTCAGTTAGTAGGTTGTTTTTAATTCAGCGGAGCTGCAATTGGCTGAATGAGAACGCCTCCTGGACGCTGACTTTAGATGTAATTCAAAACATGACTTGGCAACTTTTGAATTGAAAATCGAGATCCTAGAATATTGTTTTCTCGGAATACACAGCATTCACCGAGCTAAAACTTCATCACGTTCGTTAAGCAACCATCTTTAGATTTTGAACACTTTTGACGGTTGAAATAGAAAAAATCCACAAATGACGAATGATATACTCTACCTTTAATAAATTAACATAACAAAACACACCTTAAAGATAGCTGCTAATGCAATCAGTCTATCCACAATGTTATACTCAAACCTTCAACCGATAGACCTCGTGCGTTAAGGCAGAGTCAGAGGGCCATGGTTTGCATCGCTAGAATAGACGCGAGTAAACCTTTTGTGCATCCATTTTTATAAATTAAAATTTACAAAGAATACCCTCTGTGGAACATTCAAAGCAAAAGGTCTATGTGGCTCGGCCTGGCAAACCATTCGTCAATATTGGTGATATTATAACCAATTCAACATATTATTTGAGGCTTGATCCAATGCATTTGATTTGTATATAAAGAGTAGAATGCAAAATTTAACAGACGGAAACTTGATGTTTACCTCAATACCTCCGGGTTCAACCACGAGTTAATGCTTATTTTATTTTACATTCTTCCCTTCTCATTTAGGAAAAATGCTATCATCATTGGTTTAGGAATAAATACATAATCCTCTTTTCCATTATACGGTGAGGTAACGCAACATTTGTTGAGAAATTCATTTCCAGAAAAATTTCAATCACTACTTTTTGGCAACACATTTTCTGTTTGCAAAACTTTTGTTCCCTGTATTTAAAATCCCTAACACAATTTAAAAGCAAACACTCAACTTTAATACACAAATAATTTGGAAAACAAAATTAGTCTGCCACGCGACACAAATCATCTTACTAAAAAAAGGACGTAAAAGAAACCACCAGTGAACAACATCCAAAGAAAAGAAAAGAATAGAAAACATTCATCACGTGCAATCAAGAGATTTAGAGGGCAGGTATTTAAGCAAGACGGTTTGCTCAATGCTGTGCTAGTCGCAACTTGCAAGCCAAAAGCAAGTTTTGCAATGAATTACGCACACAAGTAAAGTCCCGTGTGGAATTGTAACTGTTTGGGGTTTGTTTTTTTTGTTCGCAGCTGTGAACCTCGGATGTTCCCACTTGGTTTTTCTAGACAAGGTGAGAATTGTATTTTTTCTTTGCAATCAAAATCCATGTCATAAAGTCTGCTCACGGCACTTTGAGGTATGATGTGATTTTGCGGCTTCATTTTAACCTCAGAAACTGCAGTTGATGTCGACGAGGTTCAGGCTTTGAGGTTGAGGTATTGAGGTTCAAAGTGCAAGAGGTTTCATGAAGGTTTTTTTTTAACATAAATTTTCTAACGAAATTACCCAAAAATTCTCAAAAAATACACAAGTCCGTAGTGAGTGGTGGCCATGTTTGCATCTCCATGATCCCGTTACTGTGCCAACCACCGGTTTTGGCAGATCTTACGTAATCACTTCGATAGTGAATATAGAAACACCACATTTAAAGGCAATTTCCTAAAACTTGACATTTCCACCATTATTCACTGCAAGCAGATATGCTCTCAGGCCAAAATTGTGTTAACTAGAACAGAAAATTGTGTTAACCTTTTAAGCACTCTTTCACAGCGTGGATGTGCTAACGGTTGCAAACACATGGGGATTCCTATTGTTACATCACTAATTTACGCAATTGTTTTTAATTGAGATCAGCAAGCTTTTTGCTGTGATTACTGCTCAATGTCTTTGTGAAATAGATGCAAGCTCTGTTAGAAGAACATTGTGAGCTTAGCACTGCCATGGAATTGGGACTGCAGTGTTCTCCAACTTTGAAAATTAAAGGTCGGTGCGCCGTCAAAAAGCGGAGGGGGCGCTATTTGCAGTCATACAATTCTTTATGCTAGGGGCACTATTTGCAGATGAATATGTAATTTATGTATGGATAACAGCTTTTAGGCCATTTCTAACACAGTAACAGTTAAGTACAATACTGGCTCAGCATCATCTTTTTTTAATACATCAGTGACAAGGGACTCTGAGGCAGTTTGGCCTTGAGACTTTTGACCTGATGGATTGCTACAATGGGCAGGCTTGTCATTTTGACAAGTCTTGCATGTTACTGCTTTTGGCCGAGTTTCTGGCCAAAATATACCCTGGAAGGTAAGGGTTGTCCCACTTGTTTGTCTTTTTTATTATTTTTATCATTTTTTAAAGCATGCCCGCAATTTTTGAAGGTTGGCGGCAACTTTTGAAGCTTGACGGGTACCTCAGAAAGCATGGCGGGGCACCAGGTTATTTTTACAGGTTGGAGAACACTGGGACTGATCTCTGCCTTTTTGTTTCCATTGGGGACTGGGTTGAGATGTTGGATAATGAGGGACGTGAACCAGTCACCATCTTAACATGCAAGTGTACTGGTAGGATCCGATTATTGACTGCTGTTGCTCTAAGGGTTCAGAATGTGGCTGCATATTAACTGTTCCCTCCGTGTTTTAGGGTCTCTTTACCCATGTTTATCATTTTCTACAGACAGGAAAATGAACATCGACTGTTGTTCTTGTAAGGGTTGTGGTTATATGTGAACAATACAGGGTCGTGCTAAAAGAAGGAAACCCACTTTTGACAGGAATTTTAACTTACTTGACTTATTTGAACTGTTTTTGTATAATGCCGTGAGGCATAGCTCTCCAACCATTGGGGTGAACAAAATCTTTTTAAAAAAAAAAATCGCAAGAATAGTGTTATTATGTTAATTTGAATACAAGTCACCAAAATCACTGTTGTCCACGTGTAAGTCTAGTGTGTGTTTTGTCTTCAACTCAAGCTCCGGAGCTCAGTCAGATCCAGCAGATGGATATAGCCGTCCATACACAAACAGGTTTGGCACATGAAATTTTTAAACTACCATATCTCAGAGACAAAATATGCATTGGCAATCATTTTTTTGGTCACTTACTCAATATTTTAATACCATTAAATTGAATTTTTGAAATATGCTCAGCAAGTGGGTGAAAATTGCTGTCAAAAATGGGTTTCCTTCTTTTTTGCATCACCCTCTATACTGTCACATTTACTCCTTTGATGGATTGGAAGGTTTGCGTAATCTCATTGCATATGGAGAGGCCCTGACTGGTGCTGCCGTGGTGGGTGGCTGCTGTTGTTTAGACTGTGCTGCTTGCTGTTGAGGCTCAGGTGATTAGGCAGGTGGATGCGTATCAGGTTTTTTGACGGCTGTGGCTGTGGCTGTGGCTGTGGGCAGGACAACAGTTGGTGACTCGGTTTTTACCACTACTGGGGCTTGTTCCCTAACTGGTGGAGTAGCTTGGGGCTGTGGCTGGGGCTGTGGTACAGACTGCGACTGTGGCTTGGCTTCAGTCTGTGGCTCAAGTTTGGCCTGGGTTGGGGTCTGGGACTGAGACGTCAGGCTCTGAAGTGCTTGGTGCTGTTGTTGTTGTTGTTGCTGTTGCTGCTGCTGTTGTTGGGCCTCTGCGCTTTTTGAAGTTGCTGCAGTTGCTGCTGCGCGGCAGCTGTCGCTTGCAGCCGCGCCTGACCGTTCCCGTCTGCTTTATCTGAGCCTGCTGTGTCTGGGCCTGCTGCACCTGGCAGTGTGCTGCCGATTTCAGCGCAGCCTGCCGTTCCGCCGGTGACAGTGACAGCGCTTTGGTCGTTTGGGCACTCAGGGTGACCTGCACCGGCGATCCTGACTGTATGGTCCCCTGGGGTTGTATGGACGCCGTCACCTGACTCGAGCTGGCAACCTGAACTGATGCCGCTCCACTAGTGCTCGCCTGGCCCTGTCCCCTGGACGGCTGAGTGGCTGGAACGCTCTGCACAGTCACCGTCTGTTGAGGCTGTAAGCCGCTGCCCTGTGATCCCTTCGTCATGGGTAGGGTTTGGGACAGGCCACCCACAGTTTTTGCCACGGTCAGCAGCGAGTTGCCTGAGACCGTCGGGATGATAGTGACCGGTTTGCCGGCCTGTTGGATGGACAGCGTGGCCCCAGCTCCTGTCCCTGATTGCTTGACTTGCTGCTGCAGCTGCTGTCGAACTGTGGCCAACTGCTGGACCTGTAGAAGGTAATATAAAACATCCCATTGATATAGAAATGTTGTTCGAGCCCAACACCTCAGAAATGACATTCCGCTCTTTTTCATCTCTTTTTCAGCATCAATTTAATAACAACTGTGGATTACTTTTGTCAGCAGTTACAGACACTGTTAACGGGGCATCACAGCCTGAAATCCCCCAAAATTTCTTATTTTGGATTGTTTACTTATACTATTTCAATGGTCTGGTTGAAAAGAAACCAACCGAATGTATTACCATTCCCAAGAAAAGAAAAAAATCCTGGTTGTTTACATCGGACGTGACAGACATTGTGTGGCATACCCATTTGTATTTCAAGTTGTGTCTATTCAATGAGCATACACGTTGTGTGTGTGTGCGGCACATAATACACACAGCACCAATACACAAATGATGTTTCTAACACATCCGCAGGGTGCGAATCACTGTGCAGCTGGATTCACAACTAGCATATATCGCTTTTTTTCAGGGACAAAATTGTAATCCCCGAAATTCATTCTCGCATGGTTCTCGCAAGAAAAACAAAAAAAACGCCCTGTTTTCAAAAGATGGTTGTGTGGACGTTTATATTCTTATTTTAAATGCCATTTCTATTTAATGTCATTTCGTTTAAAACACTTTTTGTAGCCCAATTGGGCGTATTACAGGCCATAATGTACCTTTGAGTCAACTTGAAAAAAAATTATGTAAAGCTGCAAGGAAAACCCACAGATTTAGACATCTGTTTTTAATATTTTAAGTGAAATTTGGCCTCACAGGGCCCTTTCAAGAGGGTAGCAATTGCAGAAAAATATCTTGCAGGGAGACACAAATCCCAACATCACAGCAACAAATCCTGTATATATATATCCTACAAATAAAAACAACAGCAAAATCAAGACGCTTGTTGTTCCATCTACAATCCTGGCCAAATCTCGCTGGGCCCCCCAGCCCCCGTTCAATGTTGTCTCTCATTGCGCGGTGTGTGCTCCATCAGCTGGAGAGAACAACATTGACCGGGGGAGCGGGGGAGCAGGGGAGTGGGTGACCGTGGCAGGCTCAGGTAGTGTCCCAACCATTTTGGCAGGGATTGTAGCACATGCTTTTTGGGGTATGGCCCATTTTTAATGTGAAAGTGCAGTTCCTAAATGACATTCAACATCATGTTAACATTAACACTTCTAATCCTCACCTGGCCTACTCGCTGCACTACCGCAGGGCTGCCCTGAGCCTGGGAGGTCGTGACCCTTTGAACTCTGACCTGCTGTATTTGCTGCGGGGTCAACGTGCTGACCTGCTGTGAGAGACGTTGCCGCTGGCTGCTTGTTGTCTGCACAACCTGTGTCATAAATAGACATTTTGGTACATCTTTGAAGAATCGCTGATTTAATATTTAAAGGTAATATACAACATTGCTGTTGCTGTAATTTTCAGAAATGGGACGGATTTTGAGGTTAGTATTTTATAGCAGATATTGTTACCGTGAACTGTTGAACTGTTTGTGTTCATATACGCTGGAAAAAACAGGGAAACAGTGCTCTTCTTGTGGTCTGGTTCCCTGGCCACTCCAGACGAAATGGAGCAATTTATAGTCGTCGGGGCATTGTCAGGTCTGGGAACCTGACTAGCTGGCTTGCACCCCTTCATGGATGTGTAACTGATTGCAACAAAATGTGAACTAACTAAATTTGGTTAATTGGGGGCAGTAATTGAAAAAACAGAATACTACATGTGTTGCTCACACTTGTATTGGAAGAAATGCATATTACAGGTTACTACTCGGTAGTATTTTGTAGCTTTAGGTGAGGTTAGGGTTAAATGACCGTAAACTTTTGTAAAATTTACAATTAACACTCGTACTATCTACTTAGCAGCTCTAAGAGAAATGAGGCCCTGTTCAGGGTTCCCAGCACTTTATAAAAACCTGATATCAGGTTTTTCACTGATATTTCCCTGAGATATTTTCAAAATTCCATGAGAAATATTTTCGCTTTAACACGGTTGCTGGAAAATCAAGAGGCTGTTGCAGCAAAGCAACTAAGATACTGATAGCACACTGGTAACTTGTTGACAAGCGATGGCCTCCCTTCTCCCCTTATAGCTATATTCCGAGTTGGTCAATGGACACAGCTTGAACACACCGCCCAAGACGCACACACACCCAACTGGCGAAAACCTTTTCCTTCTGCGTCACTATCAAAATTCCCTGAGTTTTCCCCAGATTTTTGGTGGTTTTCCAAATTTGCTGAGTTTTTCCTGACTGGAAAACTGGAAACTCATTTTCAAGGCTTCTCCTGATTTCCAGAGTGGTCGGGAACCCTGCTGCACCTGTCAGTGGACAAGATCCACAGTCCATACCTGACTAGCCAGCGAGCCAGTGACAGCGACTGATACCGACGGGGAGCTGATCCTGATCTGGGCTTGGCTGATGGTCTCTGAGGCTCCTTGCAGCTGGGTCTGGCTGACTGCTGTGTTGCCTGTCTGCATCTTCTGCTGTTGAGCCAACAGTTGCTGGGCTTTGACTGTCAGCTGGGATAAGGGCAAAACAAATAAACACTTGTTGTTAGAACTGCCATGTTGCTTTAGTCTTGTTGATATACCCTAACGTGGCGCGGCCGCTAACGTGGCACACTTTGATTTTTCGCCTCTAGTAGCTTGCTAGAGCAAAGTTTTACCTTGAATTTCACAGTAAGTAAAATTCCGTCAGGCTCTAAACATTTCCGTTCATAAATCTGGAGTCAGCCGACCCGGCAAGCTCGGTAGTTGAGCGGTAAGACTTCTGCACTAGAAAGCAGGTCATGGGTTCGAGTCCCACCCGAGTGATTTTTCTCTCAATCACTCGGGACAATACAGTATTTGGGTAAAACCAAATATTGAACATGACTGACTTGACATGGCAATCCCCAGCCCCTGCCCGTACACATAACGAGGACGAAAGCCACCCACCAGTTGTTGCTGCTTGGTCTGGTGCTGACCCTTCTGCATCTGCTGTATCTGGGTGAAGTTGATCTTGGGCCTGGCCACCATGCTGGGGAGAGTCAGGGGCTTCATGGGGATGTTGCCTTGCTGCTGCTGAGCTTGTTGCTGCTGCTGCTGTTGTTGAGCTCCCCCGGCCCCCTGGGCCTGCGCCTGGGCCTGGGTGAGACCCTTGGGTGCTCCCGCCGTTGCTGCAGCATTGCTGACTGTCAGCCCGCTGAGGGTGATACCCTTGAGTCCGGCCACCGTGGTGAGGGGCAGGGTGGTGATGGCCGTGGTGGTGGTCTTTTGGCTCTTCTGGCCCTGGCTGGCCAGGAGTTGGCTCTGGCGCTTCAGGATGGCCGTCAGTTCCTCGTTCTTGATGGTCCGGGTTATGGTCTTGCCTCCCAACTGCATCTAAGGGAAGAATTTTTTTTAAAGGAGTCACATACAATTTTAAGTCAAAACAAGTCAGGTGTGTTTACAAACACAAATGCCCCGCAACGATGACAGTTCCCATGACATAACACCACTCTTTTAACATCAACTTACATGTACCTTGGTCACATGGAACATTCATTGACAGCATTAGTGTCTTCTGTAGGTTTTATATGAATAAATCCCTAATCCCTATAATCTCAGAATAAATACATGATTTCTATTGTTTTAGCCACTGTGAACTTGACCCTTGACCTTTTGGCCCCAAATTCAATAGGCTTCTTAGGATTACCAAGAACAATCCACAAACCAAATTTGAAGTTCACATGTAAAGTATTTCTCAAGTTATCGCGCTGACAAGATTTTTATTGTGTTAGCCACTGTGAACTTGACCCTTGACCTTTTGGCCCCAAATTCAATAGGCTTCTTAGGATTACCAAGAACAATCCACAAACCAAATTTGAAGTTCACATGTAAAGTATTTCTCAAGTTATCGCGCTGACAAGATTTTTATTGTGTTAGCCACTGTGAACTTGACCCTTGACCTTTTGGCCCCAAATGCAATAGGCTTCTTAGGATTGCCAAGAACAATCCACAAACCAAATTTGAAGTTCACATGTAAAGTATTTCTCAAGTTATCGCGCTGACAAGATTTCTATTGTTTTAGCCACTGTGAACTTGACCTTTGGCCTTTTGGCCCCAAATGCAAAAGGCTTCTTAGGATTGCCAAAAACAATCCACAAACCAAATTTGAAGTTCACATGTAAAGTATTTCTCAAGTTATCGCGCTGACAAGATTTCTATTGTTTTAGCCACTGTGAACTTGACCTTTGGCCTTTTGGCCCCAAATGCAAAAGGCTTCTTAGGATTACCAAGAACAATCCACAAACCAAATTTGAAGTTCATATGTTAAGTATTTCTCAAGTTATCGCGCTGACAAGATTTCTATTGTTTTAGCCACTGTGAACTTGACCTTTGGCCTTTTGGCCCCAAATGCAAAAGGCTTCTTAGGATTACCAAGAACAATCCACAAACCAAATTTGAAGTTCATATGTTAAGTATTTCTCAAGTTATCGCGCTGACACGATTTATCCGGACACACACACCCACACACCCACACACCCATACTTGTTTCACATGACTAGTGTGGACTTTCCATTGCTTTCGTGTAGTTAAGAAAAACCAGTGAAAAAACTCATTTTTCTCAAACTGTGAAAACTCTTTCAACCCAATTTTTTTTCTATGATTCCCTTTAGTGTTTCTCTTCATTCTGCTACAGATAAACCTAACCCAAAAATGCCTCTAAACCTGTTTTCCAGAAATGGGGAAACACTGTGTGGACGTGGGGCAAGTCCACACAACGTCGGTGCTACCTACATTATGTGGACGTCTTTTGTTCGGAAGTCCACACTGCGTATGTAAGACAAACTCACCCACCCACACACACACCCACCCACCCACCCACCCACGGAAGGACAAGGCGGAAACAGTATGCCCCTTCGGCTTCGCCGCGGGGCATAATAAAATTGAGAGTCTGACATTTTGACAATTTGATTGGGAATCTGAATTTATACAAGGCCAAAAAAACCAAAAGTTCTGCTTCCGGTTCCTGACCTACCCTATTTTTATGGCCCTAACCTTTACATATTTATCGGCAAGTTACAAATAAATACTAAAAAAAAAATTCAAAATAATAAAGCAAAAAAATCCTGTTGTGTTTTCTGCTTTCACGAAATGCCTATCAACAACCTTTTTATGTCAAAAATGCTTGTATTTCTTTGTTTTTGCCTACTTACATTCGCTATTTTCGAAAAGAAACCATAGTTGTTTTAACAAGTTCCCTTCGCAATTTCAAGTTCCCTTTGCGATTCGCTATCGCGGTCATGAAAACATGTGCGCATTGATGTGTCAAAAAATCTGTCACAAAAGACACAAGATGTCTCTATTTGTATGTCTGAATCAGGAACGAGCTACTACTACTACTACAACTGACCTGTGCCCTGGCCTGGCCAGCCTGGGTCAGCTGAGGCTGGGCCAGGGAGGACGTCGTCGCAGCCACCTGGCTGACCGTCACGTTGCTGGTGGGCGGTTTCTGGCCGGACTGGAGCTGTTTCTGCACAGCTTGGGCCTGGGCCTCCGCCTGGGCCTGGGCCACCTTGGCTTGGGCTTGGGCTTGCTGCAGTCGCTGTTGGTATCAAAGAGAACAAGCTCCATATGATCTCGGAAGCCGTGGACTCCCAACGAATCTGTGTTGCACTTTGTGTGGAATGTGTACGCGGAGCAGGCATGAGGGTATTGTCTCCCGGATTATTGCCTTTCATTGAATGTTTGTTACTAATTAACGGAGAGACACAACTTGTCGAGCTGCTGTCGGCAGCTAAAAACCAGACGACTCTTAGGCTGCATCTGAATCTCTTGTCTATAGTTCTATATTTTTTGCCTCTATTATTTGCCGCCCATACATGAACCATATACTATCAAAAAGAGTGTTTTCGGATCATTCTAATGGTGCAGTTTATTCATAGTGTTACCATTGCAGAAACATTAAGAAAAGTGCTTCAGAAGTATCCAGCCACATTTTAAGGTATGCAGTGCCGTTTGGTCATGTGGTGAAATGGTTTGCAGTTTAGGTTAACAATTTGAAGTGTGTTGGACAGAAACAGAACCCTCAGCTGTCAGGAAAATCATGAAACATTTTAAATGTTATCTTTTGAAATTTGTTTGTTACCAAAAAGGGATGTCTCATAGTTTTTATATGTTTCAGACGAATATATATTTTCTACAAATATGCCCCAGTGTAAATTTCATTTCATAAACCCTTTAAGGCTACTTTAGCGATTTGCAGAAGATATGGCAAATGAGGTATGGACTCCATGAAGAATGATAAGAGATTTAAACTAGAAAGCACTCGGAGAGCGCAATCTCCGCCAAGGCTAAACAACCCAACCATATTGTTAGTACATCCAACATGAGGATCTTTTAAAATGCTCAATCATGTTCTGAAATCAAAGGGCAGAAACACTCAGTATTAATATGTATTGTTCACTTGTTGAAATTGAATACAGAATAATCAAGTGCATATGGCAGAATTGTGCCATTTCCATAGGGTCACTGTTTAAAATTAGGGTCATAAAACAGGGGCTTGCTAGCCGAGAAGTCTCTAGAGGGACAAGAAGGCTGGCATAATGATTTTAACGTACACCGCCTGTCACTTGCACTGTGTGCACAGTATATGGCCCAGCAATGGTCGGGTCCATTAGTTTTTTTGGGGGGGGGGAGGGGTGCCCAAGTTTCATGGCCTATGGCATATTTGCACATACAAAATGGTGAAGAATCCTTAAAAAAAAACCTGCATCAGGATCACGTCCAAAATCTAATGGGTCCGTACTTGTACCAAGGACCACCCCTACACAAATTTTCATGAAAATCTGCCCACAACTTTAAGAGTTCTTTTATCCTGTTCACAGACAAACCAACCAACTAACCAACACCGGTGAAAACATAACCTCCTTGGCGGAGGTAACAAAATGTGGGGGACTTTTTTACCTTCAATTATATTATTTGTTTCTACTGACCTTGATTTGTGCCTGCTGCTGTGCCTGAGCCTGCTGCATCAGTTGCTGTTTGATGGCTTGCTGTTTTATCAGGCTGTACTGAGCTACCTTAGCTGTGTACAGTCAACAAAAAAGTACACAATTTGACATTATTTATAAAGCTTTTCTTTTTCAAAATTTTTTGAAATATTATTTATCACAAATCTCTGTAAGGCCCATCACAGACCAGAGGTTGATTTCATACAAAGATGCGTTACAAGACGAGACAACTTTCTTGAAATCAGCCCCAGTAAAGAATCGCCAAGTGCCTACCTGTCATTGTAGCGGTGGCGGTGGGCGTTGATCTAGCCTGACTGACAGACCCTGCTGACGTGATGACCACCTGCGTGCCTGATGTGACTGGTGCACGGACCTGACTGGTGATGATGCCTCCTGAGCTAGGGAGGGAGACGTGGGCGATGGTGGTGCGGACGGCCTGGGCACGGACTACCTGCCCCGGGGGACTTGCAACCTTGTTCAGAAGAAAAAAGAAATGTCATAAAACTTCAACTCCCATAAAAAAAATTTTATAAAAATAATAATTATAATGTGGTGCTTATAATAGTGCTTTACACCGAAGGTCTCAAAGCACTTCCCAATTATTACCCCTGTTCATCAGGCCATGAGACATTTATCTGCAGCAGCTCAAGATCAGCGCAATTTAGTCTCTACCTTCACAGGTACCCATTTATACTCCTGGGTGGAGAGAGGCAATTGTAGTAAAGTGTCTTGCCCAAAAACACAAGCACCATGTTCCCCATCAGGGTTCGAACCCATGTACCACTGCATGAGTCGAACACCAAAACCATTGGACCACGGTGCTCCACTGTAACCTTGCTCGAAACCTTGCTAGTAACCTTAACCTTGCTCGTAACCTTGCTCATAACCTTGCCAGTAACCTTGCTAGCAACCTTGCTAGTAACCTTGCTAGTAACCTTGCTAGTACCCTTGCTGGTAACCTTACTAGTAACCTTGCTAAAAACCTTGCTGGTAACCTTCCCAACTCATCTCAAATTCTCTGACATGCAGATAACTAATGCCACTTTCCTTTGGTTGTATAACCTTCACAGTGACTTGCCTGGACTTTCCTCAATACTGCACAAAATCCTCAAAAACCACCTGGTAAATACCTACGGTTTGTGCACTTTCAGATGAAATGTTTTAGGACTTATGGGTTACAGACACTGTTAAAGAGGCATCACAGCCTGAAATCCCCGAAAATTTCTTATGTGGGATTGATTACTTATACAGGGGTGTGAGTGACCACTGATAAAAATAGCTGAAAAAGGTGTAAAAAAGCTGAACTTTGGAAATCTCCTACACTTTTGTACACGGCAAGTGAGGGAAAAAGCTGAAAAAAAAGCTGAAATCCAAAACAAAAAAAGCCTAACCACTAGGCCACACTCCCCACAGTGCTCCTGGGTGGAGTGAGGCAAGTGGGGGCGATGTGACTTGCCCAAGGACGCAACATATGTCCAGCAGCTGGATTTGAACCCCTGACCCTCTTATCATGAGTCACGAACCCTAAACACTAGGCCACACTCCCCCATTGCTTGAACACATCAAATGCTTGAACATATCAAAAACTTTTCCACATCTGAATCAGCATGCAGGTTATAACTATAGTGAAACCACAGAGCAGGTTTCGTGACCTGTCCTTTTTATTCCCGCTATCCTTCTTAACCACACATCAACTTTGTCACACATGCTTATACCGAAAATATCCAGGATGTCACTGGCTGTGCCTCAACATATTGCCAGTGATTGCTGGAGGATTTTGCAGGATTGAGGCAGTGGTCACCCCTCAAAGGACCACACTCAAGAAATACCAAATGGCGTTGGAGGATTAAAGCTGCATGCAAGTTTTACATGGAGGCAATTGGAGGATTGTGCAGGATTGAGGTTGCATCTTAGCAAAAAATGCCTGGGGAATTAGGGTTAAGTAATGGGTGACTTTCATACAAAAGGGCAGAATTCCGTAGAAGATGTACCTTGTCTGTCAGCACGTAGGCATCCACCACGCCCACCACCTCCTCGTAGGCCCCCGGCAGGTAAGCGCCAACCTTCTTGACTAGCCACTCTTCCCCGGTCACTCTGGCATCCCCCTGTCGGTCCAGTGTCTCCTTCCTTGCCCGCAGCTTGATGGCCTGGTTGGCCTTGATGATGGTCGCTTGGACCGTCTCGTCCACGACGACTTCCTTGCGGGGGATGTAGGTGCCAGGACCTTCAAAGAGCCACTCGTCGCCGGCCACGCGCTTGGTCTTGGCCACCGCGTCGTCGAAGTCTAGGATAGCGCGGAGTCGGAGGGCCGAGTTGGCTGGGACTACCTTGAGTGCAGTCACAGGCTGAAACACAATAGGCGAAAAATGTATGATACAAGAACTGAATAAATCAGTTTGGTAGTCTTATCCACTTCAGGATAAATACATATGGTAATCACATACAAGTCAACAGCTCATTCGATTACTTTCCCCGCACTTACTTGTGCAAGTGCCAATGCGTTCAATTTAATCCTCAAATGACTTCTCACGCTTACTCGAGCCTTGCCCAGGTAAGCGACCCGCTGAGCCCATTACTCGGGTAAATATCCCACGTGTAAGTCTAACGCTGCGGCGGGGAGAATTCAAAAGTGTTTCAGCTTCACTTGACTTCACACTAGTACAAGACGACGGGATGAAAGTCAAGTTTTAAAATTTAAACATAGAGCAAGGATATACATGGGATTTCTTGTTCACTTTGGAAGAGCAGTTCAGTGGTGGCCACCGTGGCTCGCTTTCGACGGCTCGAATCCACTTTGCAAAAAGGATTTAATCGCCACATGACCTCTGGACTCGGTTCGGTTGCTCTGCTCGACCTGGAGTAACCCGCGATCATTCATTTATTGCTACAGATTGCACATGTGCATCTATACCCAACACGAAATTAAGGGTAAGCTTGAGGGAAGTAATCAAATGCGCTGTCTGTGTCTGTACAGCCCTACTGCTTCAAGACCAAAATATAAAAGTAACCAATAAACGTCGAGAGAAACAAACAACAAAACACCGCAAATTACCAGTTTCAGGATTTCGCCCGGGTAGAGAGGGAATGGTTCTTGAGTCAGACGGATCTCCTGATCAGCATGGTTCAGCTTGATCTGTCCGCTCTGATCCTCAATCACCGAGCCGTCCTCGTTGCGCTGGACAGGGTTCTCAATGATGCAGTAGTGACGAGGGGGGACCATGGCCATCTTCTCGGGACCGAAGATGACCCTAAAAAGGAGGGAAAGGAAAGGATGGAGATCTTGAGGCTCAGAAATATATATATTTTTGCATCAAACTTCTAATCCGCAATATTTACCCTCAATCTTTTGGTAGGGATTGAAGACGTCTGTATGGGTGAGCAAGAGGTCATGGGTACAATTCCTATCTAAGAAATCTTGTGGACTTTTTTTACTGCTTAAATCTAAGAAAGCACCGAATATTCAAAATGCCTGAACAAGTTAAGTCTGTACTACAATATGTCTTATGGCTAATTAATTATTCATATGTATGAATGGCATTTCTGCTCGGTGTACACAACGTATATGCGAAAATTGAGTTTTCATGGCACGTAGCGCCGAAATTTTTTTCGCTATGGGCCAACCCGTGGTCCGATTTTTATGTTTTTGGTATCAAAAGATGCGCAAAGCTCGAGGCTAAAAAGTCATAACAGCTCGGATCGCGAAAATTTTTTTTTAGAAGCTATCGCGGAAAATGTTGAGGGGGGGGCGGATTCCGCCCCCCCCCCCCGGCCCCTTTATTCCGCCCCCCCCCCCCCCCCCCCCCCCCCCTTTAGGGTTAAACAGCTAGCCAGTCAATCCTATTTTATGTAGGCTGGGAATTCTTAACTGTTGAAAATAGCCACTTGATTGATTTTGACTGCAAGGGCAACTTGGACCAGAATGTATGTTTGCATAGGAGGGTTAACCCTCTCTCCCTCTCTGACTGGCACATTCAACAAAACCATCCCAGCAGTCAAATTCAATCAAGTGACTGTTTTGAACAATTGCATGCTCCCTCATAAAGCAGGGATTGACTAGGCCTTAAAGCTGGGATCTGAGTATGGTCGCATTCGCACAGCTATGTTGATCAATTCCAATCAAGTCTCAACATTGCTCCATGATCTTGGAAAGCTCAAGCCATGAGCGGGTGGTGTCTCGTTTATGTTGGTCTGTGTAACTTGTTGCTCTAAAGGGAAAGTAACTTGTCCATAATTTGATGATGTGTCTTACCTTTCATGGTCCTGCCTGATGAATGTGCGGGGACCAGTCTCCACAGTGGTGACATTTGTGTTGTGGTTGAGCACGTGGATGTAGTAGTAGGGTGGGATCCTGTAGATGGACTCCTCCGAACCACTCCCGCCCGCAAAGCCGAAAGGGGCACCGCCACGCTTTCCCTTTTCTGTCATTTTGATTGTTTATTCTGTAATTAAACACATTAGAATATTACAATTCTTTCTGGAAATACAGCACAGGATACATGTATCTCTGATCAGTCCCTGTGGTACCATGTGCATGTACAGAAATCTGCAGAGAGAAGATAATTAATCCAAACCTTCCAAAATCCTCCAAAATCCTCTTTGCATATATAAAGTGGAAGTTTTCGAAGGATTGAGCCTGTATGGCACAACTGTGTCAGTTGATTTTGCAGGATGCATTGTGTCAAAATCTACACCTTGTACATGTTGTAGCTTGTGTTGTCTATAGCCATGCATAAATTTAGGCCCATTATATATAATTCGAGAGGTTGTGGGTTCAAGCCCCACCGTGGCCATGCGTGTTGTGCCCTTGAGTAAGTCGCTTTACCTCAATTACTCCTCTCAACCCAGGTGTTTAATGGGAACCGGCATTATCCACTGCTTTAATGTGCAGATGTGATTGTTGGAGGATTTTGCAGGATTGAGGCAGTGGTCACCCCTCCACTGAACAAATTCAAGAAATGGAGGATTTTGGAGGATTGAGGCTGTATCCAATTTTACATGGCGGCAGCTGGGAGGATTTTGAAGGATTGCGGGTGCATCCTAGCAAAAAAAGGGTTTGGAAGTTAGTTATAAGCATAAAGTGTTCAAATAAGTCACATTGCAAACTGTGGTCGGTTGACACAGCAATGTCAGTTTTGCTATTACCCATCATGTGATTTTGTAAGCCAACTGTAAAGACCAAAGTTCATTTTTAATAAAGTAATTACAACCTATTAAGCTTCAACACATCACACATTCCAGGCAACCCGCCTTGTTTATCCAAGTAAGGTTTTGGTTGGAAATTAAAATGTCACAGATTAGTTTCCGATGTTGACACCTGACGCTCCCTTCTTCTGAAATCTCTCCAATAACACACCACAATGAAATAATTATCAACAATTTCATAAATGAACAATTTGTGTTTTTTAAATTATAAAAAAAAAAAATTCCAATATCCTCGACTTAAAGGCAGAGTACATCATTTGCAGCTATCCAAAAAGTAACAGACAAAGTTATTGTGAAAAGCATACTTGGTTTAAGGATGGTAATGGCACTAAACTCCCTGCGAAATTATTCTTTCTGGCATGCTGTTATATTGAAGAAAACAGTTAAAGAAGGCCATTTCCAACGATGCGTCTAAAGCTGCATTTTCAGAAATTTCTGTTAGTAGTTAATTTTTAAATCGGCAAAGGCGTGCCGTGAATGAGTGCGCACAAGCGTTGACACGATGCACACGCTTGTGGTTATTATTATTTGTGGTTATTTCCAAACTTTTTTTTAAAAGAGAGCCATTTACAGCCCTGTTTTTATTTGTAGGGCTAGTCAAAAAGTAACATGACATAAATGTTACAGTTGAGTTGGTAACCTGTAGTGATAGTACTGCTGTGACCAGTGCAAATGTATGTGCTTCGCAAATTTCTTTGGCTTCGCTTTACAGCTCTATACTCCTCTACGGCTCTAGTTCTTGAAGAGCTAGAATTCATTCATTCTTCCAGTACTCAAGCAGTAGGCCTATTTGCAATAAGGTATCCGTGTTAGCCTTTAGTCAAGTCCACGCGCTTACCCGGACACGTGACACACCCCGGATGCTGACACGTAAAAAGACTAGCACGAGCGGTGAAACCGCGAATTACCATCTCGTGGAGAACGCTTATGTTTTTCTTTACATTTGTCTACCGATTTGGTAGCCGAAAATATGGCCAGTTTACTGGACTGCCGCCGTAAACATAGGCCACACATCCGCCATCACTGAACCTACTCGGCAAAGTTTTCAAAGTGATTTCCACATTGCGACTTCAGACCCAGTTCATTTATGCTTTAAAAATACACTCACCCTCTTAATAACAAAGTTTGAACCTGCTTCCAGTGTCAGTTGCCCAGCTGCTGCGTAATTTACGATATTTTCTGGAGCCTTCTTGGCAACTTTTCGGTCCAAATGAACAATGACCTCGTGCAATACCTGACGGGATACGAACCAATATGTATGGGCGGCCATTAGGGCAAAAAAGACAAAAACAAAAATAAAGCAAAAGCACAAAATTAAACGAAAACACACAGAAATAAACGAACAACTCAGAAATAAACGAATTTAACTCAGAAATAAACGAACAACTCAGAAATAAACGAACAACTCAGAAATAAACTAACAACTCAAAAATAAACGAACAACTCAAAAATAAACGAACAACTCAAAAATAAACGAACAACTCAAAAATAAACGTACAATTCAGAAATAAATAAACAACTCAAAAATAAACAAACAACTCAGAAATAAACGAACAACTCAAAAATAAACCATCAACTCAGAAATAAACGAAGAACTCAGAAATAAACGAACAACATCCCCAGGGTGTCGAGCAGCAGTACGCACCCACCATGTACCATACATTACAGAAGTGCAGACGACATAATGTTTACCGCGGCATCCAAGATGGCGGACACTTTGCATCGCTTCACGCGATGAACACGGACACATGACGGATGTAGTGGGTTTTCGTCGACGACCTCCGACGCCAAAAAGAAGTCTATGCGAAAGGTAAGCCTGATTACAGTTTGATTTTTATGATGGTAAACGTTGACTTTAATCATAAAAGTTTACAATGGCATATCCCGCCGTCATGTCTGTATGTACGTCATGCATGTCATGTGTACGGCCGGGTTTGGCCGGCCACTGTACTGGCGCGGCGCGCCGGTGCGGTGGACAGACCACGGACCATTAAATGGTCCGTGGTACATGGTCAAACCATCAGACCGACCATCGAGCTATATCCGAGGTGGAATGATATCCACATCTGGCCATCTCTATTTTTCCCCTTCAGTGACCTATCATGCATCAGAAAGTGTTAATATGTCCAAACAAGTAAAATTTAGCTTCGGAAAATATTGAAATATTTAGGAAACACTTGGAATAGAAACGTCCAGACCAGTCTCATACGGTTTGTGCACAGGGATGGCCAGATATGGAATCTTCCCATCATGTTCCCTGCAGTGTTAACAGCCATCAGCTGGAGAACATATTGAAGTATTTACCGAGAGAAAAACGAGGGAGTGGAGGCAAGGGGGAGGGCGCTGCCCCCCCCCCCCCCAAAAAAAGGAAGAAAAAACAAGAAAAAGGAAACTTAAGAAAAAGAGGTACAAAGTCACATTCGTGTAAATTTAATGGGGTGGGGGGGGGGGGGCAAAATGTCCCTGCCCCCCTCTAAAACTGATAAATCGAGAATATGTTGAGAAATACAGGATTTTTTTGGGGGGGGGGGGGAAATATGTTTTACCCCCCAATAGAAAAACAATCATGGCGACGCCTATGTTTGTGCATATACATCATGGTCACTGTTATGGTGATTTCCAGGTATAAATCTTTTTTCTGGATAGCTTTATGATAGGTGATTGCACTGTGTTTTACTCTACACTGCCACCATCAGTCCCCTGATTACAACTTGATTAAGATCTCTGTAGGCCTGGTCTTACAGAGTTTGTGATGAGATTTTGGCAACTTTTCATGCTAAACCGTTTCATATATTTTGTCATTTGTCCCAACAGAGTGCAGGATATTATGGACAGTGGTCAAGACGGCTACATCAATGATCCAGAAGGAAAAGCAACAGAAACTCAACTGAAAGAAAGCAACTTTAGTCTTGTCTGATAAGTGCTGCATGCGTTCCACAGCCCATGCCAAGTATGGACTGAAATTCTGGCTGAACTACCAGATCTTAGCTCCATGATACAAGTATGTAGACAGCAGCTGGCAACTAGTAGCTGCAGCTCCCTGAATACCTTGTAAAATGGCAAATGCACTGTTAAAGTTATAGAGATTTTTTTATAAGACCCCTGAAAATCCTCAAATACATGTATGAGAGAAAGTTCACTTGCAATACTGATGAGCATCTATGCAGAGGATTCAATTAGTTTGGAACTTGCTGCAACCCCTGTGTAGGTTGTCATTGAGGATTCTGTCTGAGGACTTATTGAGGTGAACAGTCTGTCAAGTGTGAGAGAGGTGACACTAAAGGAAGTGATTCTAGCCAAAAAGGACTGCAACTTTCCTCTGCAACTGAAGGAATCAAAACCCCTGACGAAGGAGAAATCGAGTTTTACCAAGTCAGTGAAGATGCAGATGGCAGATGGCAGTTGTAGGAGTGCCTTGTTGTGACCTTCGAATTTTCACCAATGCCACAGCGATGTGCTCATAGTACAAAAATGTACATGTTTCATTCATTGAGGCATTTTTGAAACCATTGAGGATTCTTCAATTTCATAAAGGTCAATGTTTTTCATAAAGGTCAATGTTTTTCATAAAGGTCAATGTTTCACCATATAGCCCAGGGTTTGCAATTTTTATCAAGACACCTCGCACAAATTTTATTTGGCAAAACTAGTTAATTGGTCTTGTCATAAATGTGATTGCTCTAGTTCAAAGAGTAAAAGTGCATGTACATGTTATTAAAATTATATTTTTGACATTAAAATTTTTGTCAACAAATTGCAGACTTTTTAGTCATCTTTAAAAATCTATACTTTTCTATGAATAGTTAGTGCAATTTTAGGTGAAATACATTATCTACTAAGCAATTTGTTATCTCCTGAGCTAAATGCGTCATTAAGAATAGGAGCAACTTGACATGTTTCTGTACAAGGATTGGATGTATTTCATCAAGTTTGGTTTTCCAACTTCATACAGACGTCACTTGAGACCCTGTATACAACTTTGGGAGTGGTCTGAACATTTCTGTTTTCTCACAAAATTCTTCAATGTTTTCCCTGCTATATTTGACTTTTTACGACATGTTATCGCTTTCTGATGGCTGGTAGGTCATTGCAAGGAAAAATTATTGACGTCCTATATGCAATTCTTTCCTACATGTTCTTGTTATGTTTATTTAGTAGAAGGATTTTTTAAACAACATTTTAAGGTTTCCTTCCACTCTTGAGTTTTAATTTATTGCATTGTACTAGACTGGGGCAAGCATTATTTGTGTGTAACTGAAAGAAATTGCCTGAAAAAGTACAATTCACATTTCACAAGTTAATTAAAACCACTGCTTTAATATCTCATCCAAAAAAAAAAACACATTGTAATGTTAAATTAACAGTTATATTAATATCACTTGTGTTGTAAACATTTTTTTGAGAAGTACACAATGTATACAATTGTGCTTTTCAAAATATCATGTATGTACACAAGTTAACCATGCTCAACCTGTAACACTATAATAGCATTTCATGAGATTACACAAACATTTGAACAAAATGAACTAAAGGTGTACCATTCTAAATTTTGTGCAAACTATGTGGCATATGTGAACCTTGGTCACTGTTTTTCTAGTGTTCTGATGGTCCCCATGAATATCCTGATATCTGTTTGACAAAGGTGGGGGACAGGGGTGGGGGCGGAGGCACTGGAGGATGGAACATTTGGTGAATTGGGTGGGGGTGAGGGGGGGGGGAAGTGTGCAGTTTAAACTTGTGATTGGCTCCTAACACAACTCTCTGTAAAATTTACATGAATCTGCCAAAGATTAAAGACGACAATGCTGTGCTGGAGATCCAGAAACTTTACTGTGTAATACAACTTCTCCTGATACAGTTTTGTAGTGGTACATATGATGTCAGGCACAGATTGACTACAATAAAATAGAAAATAAAATGTATGTATTTGTTACAAGAAATTACCCAGTGTTTGTGTAACCTTATTGTAACAGAATTAGCTCATTACATATCACTTACATGTTCCAAACACATGCACACACATGTCCAAAGCAATGTTTATGTAAATACACATGTAGGCCCCTACAATGTACATGTACATGGAGTGAGAGTATCAACTATGGCATAAATCCAGTGTCAGTCCAACAATTTGCATTTATACTAGCTACTCCACATTTAAAGAATACTGAGGTCTACATGCAAGAAGGGTTTATGTACACCCTGTATAAATCTCGACCTGCAGTACGTGTGCTTTTAACAGGTTCCACAATACCGTGACTATGCAACCAACAAATGCGTTGAAAATGCAACTTTTAGGCTTATACGGTACTAAATATCACACTAATCACTAAATAATTTATAGAAATTGTTTAACAGTAAACAGCGGGATTATTGTTTTGGGCGAAGAATTTAACACACAAGTTGCAAACTCTACAACGCTAAAGCTATGGAGCACTTGGTTATTGTCTTTCTGGTACAGTGCCCTCACTACTAGGCAAAAAGAAGAAATCTGAGTTTGGCCGCTACATTACATGTATCTAGCACTGCATGTATCTATTTAAATTTAATATTTTTTTACAAATATCTGCAGAATAAAATGTAGCACCTCTTTTAGTTTCTGTGTGCGGAAGTTGCACAGTTACAATTTACATGACCTCAGGGTTCTCCCCACGTACAAACGTGCGTATCGGCCCGATACGCTGGAATTGTGGCCCGATACGCCGACAAAAATGCCGATCACATTTTTCAGCCCCCGATACGCACAATATAATTTATTACACAAGCCATTAAAATGCACAACATTATCGTTTCATACGCCATTATTTCATCTTGACATTCAAAATCTTGACAAAAATCCCGTATTTCTGATGCTGCATGTGTGATCAAAATGCACACGATGACGGGTCTTTCGCGACGACCGCCAGCACCCAGCTATATATTAGCGCATTCAGCATGGTACACTGGTTCCCTTCGCGTGCTAACAGTATCAATGCTATGATGAAGGACCGGAACCAGTGACTACTGCCTTGCACGTGCATACATGATGATTTCGGCCGAAGTTGGATCGTAAAAACACCAAACAAACATCGATGGAGAAAGAGAATTTCTGCAAATTAATTCACAGAACGTGATCTCTATTTTCTGTGTATGTATTTTCCATTAAAATGACGAGATTGCAAAGCTCGAACGTTTGGCGATCAACATCGTACGCGTAGCATGCTTCTTAGAAGCAGTGGTGCAAAATTTTCAGCCACATGGGATGGGCCGTACACAGTTCAGTAATGCACACTGATGCTGCGCCGTGAGCACAGCGCCATGCATGTACAGCCGGCCAGACTGAATGTTGACGGCGCCAGGGGCCATGATGTACGTTAAACATATTGTGGAATCAACTACCTCAAATATATTTTTAATTAGGTGAGGCAAGTTTTAATCACTTTTGATGGTCAGTCAGATGATAATTTTCGTGGTGCAAAGGAAAATAATCCAGGCACAAAACTACATGATTCCTTGTTCAATATGCTCCATTCAATCAAGTGTTTTTATTCCTCCATGATTCAATCAGCAGCCCAAAAAATTGGCGAAATAATTTTTCCGACTTACCGACGCTATTTTGAAAGGCATGTAATCGGAAGCAAAAGTGATATTTTTCTTCACCTTAATTTCTTAATTTGAAACTTGCTTGTTAATATAATTCATACTTTCTAGATCAGGAAGTTTTAACACAGGTTTTGAAATGTTGATTTTTTTTTTTAAGTTAAAAATTTTGATATATTTTTTTCTTTAATTACAAAAAATATCACATGATCTCCTCTAAATTTTAAGGGAAAATCTTCCTCAAAGACTCCCCAGATTTGCTCTAAAATGCACCAGAGAGCCTCTAAAGTTCAAAATTTTTCGGGGCCCTTAAGCGGGCCCCGAACCCCACGCCATGGCTTCGCAGGTTGGTGAATCACAACAAAACTTCCCCCACAGGTTTGAAAAAATCCTGGGGAGAACCCTGCATGTAGAACTGCAAATGTGACATGGATTAGACTTAGAGTGACAACAAAGACTAAAAAGTAGGGCCTACATGTACATAATTATACATGTAAGCTACACAGACAAAAAAACTAGGCCTACTTCATTTAGTGAGGGCCAAATATTGTAGCATAGCAGCGCACTCTTTGAACGCTTTCTGTAGTTTAGGGGTACCTCCTTTCCAAGAAAATGTCACTGTTTTCCCATTTAACGGTCGCACATGCTACTGCAACAGACTCAACTCAACCAGCTGATGAGGCTGCATTGGTCTGCTCCCATGAGAAAATGAGGCATAGTAAAGTTGTACATTGTAGTTTCCGCTTCATGATTGCTTCTCGGCAGGATCTTGTTTCATCACAGGCTTCCCTTCCATGTTATTAGAATTGTCCTGAAACCAACATTTGAGAGTTACAAATTAATCATCATGTTGACATCCTGTTCTGATTACTACCATTACCCTTGTAGTACCCTGTGCAACCAGGGGAACCAAAGAGAACTGATATAAACTGCTGATTTTGTTTAAGTAAATCCAATTCATTTTTTCCCTTCATTTTCTCTGCTTTCAAACACACAATGCATGATATTTTTTGTGGGTCACCAAAATAATGCAATATGCACACAGCAGTTCCCAGTTTATTTGGGGTTCACTGAGTATTTCAGGCTAAACAGTTAACTAACCATGTCAATGGCGTATTTGAGAAGCGGTTCGACTGGTGGCAGCGCAATCCACAGATCGCGCTCAACATTGATACTAGTACTAGGGGGGCTAGGGGCCTTTTGCGTTTGTACAAATTGTTGCGTAAAGATACTAAAAAAATTCAACTCGAACTGAAAAATAATGGGTAAAAAGTCTCTTTTATTAGAATTGTGAATAAAATTTTAGAGTCGCGGAAGTCGTTTGATCTTTATAGCGGCAAAATGCTCAAAAAAATAAACAAGACATATGGACCATGCCCGTCTGGGGAAAGAATTCCTTAGTCTACCTCCATGTCTAGATGGACGTTACTTCGGACCCTGTTACAAACCAGTATGATGAAACTGGTCTGAAAAATTGTGTTTTCTCACTAAATATTTCAATATTTTCCCTGCTAAATATCACTTTTTAGGACATGTTCACCGCTTTCTGGGGGCTACTACTAGTACTAAGTCATTGCAGGGAAAAACTAGTGGCGTACGTATATGGAATTCTTTCCAGTCTGACCACCGTAGTCATGGCGCAGTGCCACGCCGCGCCATCCCAGCCCAGTACATGTGGCCAAACCCGGCCGGCGTTGGCATACCGTTCGTACACATGACGTACAGACTAGGCGTGACGGAATGCAATGGTAAACGTAAACAAAGTCAACGTTTTTCATCGTAAAAATTAAACTCCATCCCAGGCTTACCTTTCGCATAGACTTCTTTCTGGCTTTGGAGGTCGTCGACGAAAAATCACTACATTTTTACCCTCCGTTTTTTCTAAGTGTTCATCGCGCGTGAAGCGATGCAAGGTACGTGTCCGCCATTTTGGATGCCGCGGTAAACATTATGTCGTACTGTACTGCATGGTACATGGTGGGCGCGTACTGCTGCTCGACACCCTGGGGATGTTGTTCGTTTATTTCTGAGTTCTTCGTTTATTTCTGAGTTGTTCGTTTATTTCTGAGTTCGTATATATTTCTGAGTTGATCGTTTATTTCTGAGTTGATCGTTTAATTCTGAGTTGATGGTTTATTTCTGCGTTGATGGTTGTTTTTTAGTTGTTCGTTTATTTCTGAGTTGTTCGTTTATTTCTGAGTTGTTCGTTTAATATTTCTGAGTTGTACGTTTATTTCTGAGTTGTTCGTTTATTTTTGAGTTGTTCGTTTATTTTTGAGTTGTTGTTTATTTCTGAGTTGTTTGTTTATTTTTTAGTTGTTTATTTATTTCTGAGTTGTACGTTTATTTTTTAGTTGTTCGTTTATTTTTGAGTTGTTAGTTTATTTCTGAGTTGTTCGTTTATTTCTGAGTTATATTTGTTTATTCCTGAATTGTTTGTTTATTTCTGAATTGTTCGTTTATTTCTGAGTTGTTCGTTTATTTCTGAGTTATATTCGTTTATTTCTGAGTTGTTCGTTTATTTATGTGTGTTTTCATTTATTTTTGTAGTTTTGTTTTATTTTTGTTTTTGTCTTTTTTGCCCTAATGGCCGCCCATAAATATGCGGGATCGTTCACCTGTCAATCACGCGCGTACCCGTGCACGAGGCACCAGAGTGAACCTGGCCGCGTATTCGGCCAGCTACCACAGCCGCGCATTCAGCAGTGTCAGCCGCGTATTCATAAAGTACGGAGGCCAATAAACAACATTATTGATATGATAAATGTTTATATATTTAATGCGGATTTCATCGAGGAGTGTACCGAAAATGAAGGACGTCAGTATTATGCTTGATGGTCAGTTATTTAGGTCTCGTGGCTTCCTATAAATTGTTTTGGTTTCAGATCTAGGGCAGCTATGAGTCACGTGATACTTGTCCTGAGAAAAGTCGTACTAAAATAGCATTTTGCGGTAATTGTACATTTATTAAAACTTAAGTTAAATTTCGAGACAAAGTGTACCAAACAGTGTGGGAGATAAAGTCAAATCGCCGATGGCATCTTAAAGAGTGGTGTCCCGCCTACACTCTATTTTGGTTTCAGGTGTATGGGGTGTATCTGTCACGTGACAATGGCATAACATATTGGGCTTTCACCGCCAAATTTACTCTATTTTATTATATTTAATGCGGATTTCAGGAAAAAGTGTACCGAAAATGCAACATGTCCGAATTATGTTTGATGGTCAGTTATTGAGGACTAGAGGCTTCCTATAAATTGTTTTGGTTTCAGATCTAGGGCAGCTATGAATCACGTGATACTTTTCCTGAGAAAAATCGTACTAAAATAGCATTTTGCGGTTGAATTATGAACAACATTAAACTTAAACTTCGAGACAAAGTGTACCAAACAGTGTAGGAGAAAAATTCAAATCGCCGGTGTCATCGTAAAGAGTGGTGTCCCGCCTACACTCTATTTTGGTTTCAGGTGTGTGGGGGTGTATCTGTCACGTGACAAT